TACAGTGGGCTATTTTTGATTCTGTTTTGGCTTTGGCTACCCCCAGGCTATCATTAACGTCATTACCAAGATCAGTACGAAAGTAAATGTCGTATAAATTGACCAAGGTAAAGAAGACGCGTGGAAGGAGAGGATACAGTGTAACGGGGAAGACATCAAACGTTTATTCGGTGGTTACTGGAGCAGAAGTGTTGCTGTCCGGTCAAGTAGTCGCATTGGATAGTTCCTACAATTGGTAAAATTTGGGCATCGGTGATGGAGAGGCGGAGATGACACTCATGAGGACCTTACTTGGGGTAGCTGTTTGCCGTGCTAGCTATGAGATGGCTCTGCTGCTGGTTGCTAACGAAGGTGATATGCATCAAGGCCGGGTGTGGAGGCATATGTCGGTTCGTTTGAAGTATAAACAGATCCAAGCCGCTGCATATTGCGAGCTTGTGCTGAAAGACGGAGGCTACTTACACCTTGACGGGGTATTGGGGATGCCAGCAACGATGGTGGAATGTAAGAATGACTGGGCTCAACTCTCACTGCTTCGGGCTTCGGGCTTTAACCCGGGATCATGGCTTCAGCCGCAAGATGTTGCTAGAGACCAACTCAGAAGACGATGAATGTTCCCCATTACTAGGAAAGCCCTGCTACAAGTCAAGCTATCCAGCCTCATGCCAATATCAATGGCTCCCTCACCCCGCTACTCAAGTTGTAGCTAGCGCATGGAGCAGATGCCCGCGTCGGTAACCCCGAGAGATGTATTCTATTGCATCAACTGACTCGCGCATGTCAGAATTCCGAGTGTCTGAGCCCGCATCTGCTGAGCCGGCTGCTGGAACAGATAGGAGTCAATGACAAGGCAGCCATTGAGGCAGCTCGGCAGCCTAGTTAGCGGGGTGCAGATGTGAATTCGCGCAATCACCAAGGCAATACCCCTTTGCATGAGATTACGCGAGGGGTGGTTCGCCCTGGGGTGGATGAATTTACAGGTCAGGTCGAGCCCCTACACGCCAAACGTCTGGCGCAAGCCCTTGCTGCTTTCATAGGTAAGTTGACAGAGGCGGGAGCCTCGATGATACAGATCAATACAGCAGGAAAAGCCCCAGCGCGGGTCCGGTTTGGGGTTGAGGAAAGTTGTGAGAAATTGCGGCGGGAGATGAAAGCGCAACAGTATGCAATGAGAGGGCCAGAGAGGGGAGAGGAAAGATGGTAACTTGAACATACAGCCTTGCCTGTGTAACCGGCTCTGATAAACTCAGCGCCAGTTGATTTTCCAGGGCCGCCTATGGATTACATATAGCTTTCGTACATAGACTCCTATCATTATGCAACATGCAGATGTCTCACCACCACGATGTAATGGAATTAGTCAAGGAAGAATGAGTGAATTAAACAATGACCCTCTATGGCACCATATCTAAGAAGGCTGAATGAAACCCGGCACCAGTATAAGCTGACGTGCTAGTCATTGGTAATCTGCGCAGCAAACTGCGGGTGAATTCCAGTGGAACGAGGAAGTATACAGAAGCACCTCCAGCGAATGATCGCCGGCGTGCGGCATCATAGCGCCTGATATTATACTTCCTCTGGGATGCACTCGAGCCTTCTCGGGTGATTACATTTCTAATACCGCCATTTCTTGGAGTTCATCTCGGGAATCCCTGGGCGGTGCAGGTTTGCTCGGGCCGCCTGGTGTTCCCTTGGAAGGTCAGTCCATTGTCCAGCGCGAGAGAGAGAGCGGATGCTTGCATGATTCTCCGCGGTTGCACGTCACTTCAGCTCGGAACAAAACCAGCAACTTCCACCACTTCTTTTCACCACCACCACCTCCTGTGGCTTGTCCCTCCTTTTTTCTGCCAACCCTTTGTTTGCCCTGTCGACCGAATTTACTCTCTCCTTTGTTTGATTGCCTCCTTTCCCTCCTTTTCTCTTCTCCGGCAGTTGCCTGAATATATATACTATATACATATTTTTTTTTCTCTCTTAACCCGACTCGTCCTGCGCCCTTCCGCATCGCTTCCAGTTCTCATCGCCCGTGACTCAACTCATGCGGAATGCCGTCTAGAATCCAACGGTCTCTGTTGGACAGTGAATAATCCCCATAGTTCTTCGGAAACTCAAAACATGTCTTCGTCGCGGTCGGACAGCTTGAAAACCCAGAAACTGGACACCGACAGCTTTGTCGCTTTTGACCATGCCGCGGCTGGCCAGTAAGTTCTGCCTCTCCGCCCTTGCCGCAAGATACGAGATGCTTCATGGCCAGCACTCCCATTTTCTCCCCTTCCCCAACCAATGTTCATTTGCTCGGTATACGAGGCATTAACAGGTAACTGACGCTGTGCCAACAAAACAGCGACGGTGTCCAATGCACTCTGTCCGGCTCCTTTATCGCAAAGCCCTGCACCCCCGAAGAAGTCGCCTTCTACGAGTCTAGCGCCCTCCACCCGGAATTTAGAGAGTTTATTCCTACATACATAGGGACTTTAACTTCTGCCGACCAGCAGCAGTACTCTGCCATCGAAGCTGCTCAGCAGTCCGGTGCGATTGTCCTCCCCGGATCAGACTACTCCTCGACATCGGGCACTCCGAGCGCGACCGGAACAGCACAGCCCAGCGCGGCAGCCTCGGGATCGACGAGTACCGCGCAGGATCTACCATGGGTTCCTTCGAACGGAAAAAAGCTGGAGACAGGAATATCTATTGTTCTGGAAAACGTGGCTTCTGGATTCAAGCGGCCGAATGTGTTGGACGTGAAGCTGGGCGCAAGGCTATGGGCTGATGATGCGCCCCCTCAGAAGCGAGCGAAGCTAGATGCTGTATCCCAAGAAACGACAAGCTCGAAACTGGGGTTCCGGATTGCCGGGATGAAGGTCTGGACAGGCGTGAGTGGAGAAAGCGACGAAGGAAGTAAGACCGATCCATATGCTACGAAATACGAAGGTTCTGCAGGTGCGCGGGGTGAGGTCATCGAAAAAGACGGATATAAGCGCTACGACAAGTGGTATGGACGGTCTCTCAATGAGGACACTGTTATAGAAGGGTTTCAAAAATTCCTCGCTGGGGCTAAAGCTGGGGCCGTTGACCGTTCCCAGTTGGTCGCCCAGAGATTGGCGGACGAACTGAAGAAGGTACAGCATGTGTTGGAGTCAGAGGAAAGCCGGATGTATTCTTCAAGTGTTTTGATTGTATACGAGGGAGATCCAGAAGCGATGGAACATGCGCTTGCAGAGGAACAGAAGCCCCGGCCTGACCGGGGTGAGTCCGAGGACGAAGAAGAAGAGGAAGAGGAAGACATGGAATTCCACCTTCAGCAGGGCGGGTCAATCCAGGTGGTTGATATACCGGTCGGTCAGGGAACCAAATCCCACCAAGCAATCAATATCAATATCGACCCCGAGATAGCAGAAATGGCTGAGTTGGGAGACCTGGGAGATTTAGAAGATGATGAGGATGAGGATCCTCCAAAGGTGCATGACCTTCGCCTGATCGATTTTGCCCACGCCAGTTGGACACCAGGTCAAGGGCCGGACGAGAATGTGCTGGAAGGGATCCGGAGCTTGATCAAAATCCTGACCGGACTTGCCGGCGAGTAAGTGTACGATATGCAGGCCAAGCATCCGAAAGTCGCTGGCGATTTGGATGATGCGATATGAAGCAATTTGGTGTTAGCGAATATACAAATGTACATCAACTATTGATATTGAGTATCCTTGAGGCATAATCAGACTCGCAGCATAGGACTTGTGTGCCGGGCTGAGTGGCGTAAAGATTAGTGCGTATGCTTAGGTTAATAATGTCAAAGACAGAGGCATTATTCATCCAACCAAGCATGTTAGCTCAGGGGAAGAGCGCCGGGCTCATAACCCGGAGGTCCCTGGATCGAAACCAGGACATGCTATATGATTCTTTTTTTCTTTTTTCACATCTCTTCTCTCTCGCCAAGACAACTCAACAGCACACTAATCCTATATGCAGGGTTTCTATTCACTTGTGATTTATGGGTTAGGGTCTGCTCCTGTGCAGACTCTAGGCTTTCCCCTCGAAGATATAGATCTGACTCTGTCAACTCTTGGGAACTCTATACTAGCAAGATGACTTACATCCTGACCTTGTGGAAAGTCTCTCTATTAGTACAGGGCATTTTCGAATGAAAACTCAAGCGCAAGGAAAGTATATATCATGGTGTAGCGCTTTGCACGGTTAACTTTCTGTAGAAAGGTATATGTCCCATATTCTAGTATTCCCAGTGTTAGACCGCGAAGACCTCACGAAATGCCAGACAACGACAACCCAGAGACTCTCGCTAGATCATCGTAGTATATGCAGATCAGCCTTGCCATAGGCAAGTCACGAGGCTATCAGACCCTGTTTATCGAAGGATTCCCTCACATGCTTTCTCAGCCCACACCGGGGCGAACGAACGGTTGGACTCACATCACGGAAGGGACCATGGCTAATATCAAGATTGCCATACAGTACTCAGGTGAGTGACTGTGGCAGAGCGGTCGTTCAGATTGTAACTCAGCATGAGGCTGTCTTGGCAAGAAGTTGCTACTTGTGCAGGGTTATCTATACGAGGTCTCCACTGATACGTGATAGCACATGCCTACATCACTTGCTAGTGTTACGGATGAGTTGGCAATCTTCCAATGGTGAGGGGACCACATGATCATATGAGATGCCAGAAACTTGGAACTTATTCCGATGAAGGAATGCTTCCTTTTTATCTATGCGGTAGCTCTTCTTTCTCCACACAGGATGTGTATACTGACCTGGTACCGCTATTGAAATCCACCATAACCTATATGCAAACACCCCACCAAGAAGAAAATATAGTCTACTATAGAAGTCGCAAACAGCAAATATGATTTAAATGTCCCAGGAATGGGGGGGGACACATTTGCTTGTAGCCTTATACCAGGAACATCCGATATCACGTGAAGAGCCGCACATTGAAACTTAAAACAATCACACGTTCATCCATGTATATCTCATTCATAATAATAAAGACACAGCTCATATCAACAAACCCAGCATGTTAGCTCAGGGGAAGAGCGCCGGGCTCATAACCCGGAGGTCCCTGGATCGAAACCAGGACATGCTATCTGAATGATTCATTTTTTCTTTTTGTCTCATGCAGAGTGGATTCGCGATGTCATGTACGGAGTAGAAATGGATACTACCGCATTTGCTCTTTACCTTTCCACCAGTTCACATCCATATTATTTTCTCTTACGATGCATATAAGATTATGTATAAATCTAATAAATATGTTGATATGCTCAAGATACAAAGAATCCAAAAACCATGAAGAGCTCGTCAGTTTATAGAATGTCAATAAATTCATAGCCAAGTCCCCATAGCAAGAAGAAAATCTTACATAATCCGCCCTCCGCTCCATCTCAAACCCATCCCAATCGATCATCGCAAACCCGCCGGTCCGCATCTCGCCCATCAGCCAAAGCCCAACACCACAAAAACCAAAATGTTTCCCACGCGAGCTCTCTTCTCCCGCTCGGTCTGGAAGGGTGAGAATACCCCATCGAAGTCCCTATTTTAAATCACTGGAGAAATTGAATCCATCTAACCTGCATACCTACAGGCCCGAACATCGTCCCGTACGTCGTCGCATTTATTCCCTTTCCTTTCCTACCTTTCACGAAGGGCACATCACTACCCAATGCCTATACAATATCGCCACATATCAATTGCAACCGCTACTCGACACATCCTCTACTGGAAATTGGAAATAAAATACTAATAAAAGCTATGATAGTCTCCCTCTCCCCCGCAAACTCCCCGCTCCGCCAGGAACACCACCGATCAAGACGCAGAAGCGCGGCGCCACGATCCTGCCTAACTTCGTGGGATTGAAGTTCCAGGTCCACAATGGGAAGATTTATCAGGATGTTGTGATCACGGAGGAGATGGTCGGCAGGAAGTTGGGGGAGTTTGTTGCGTGAGTTTTTTCCCTATCCAAGTCTCTTCTTTTTTTTTTCTTTTTCGCCTGGGGGGTTTGGAGTGGGATATAGGAAATGTGGTGAACTTGGAGGATTTGAAGGTTGAAAGGAAAGAAGAATATTTGGTGGAATGGGATATTGATTGGTGTATGATGATGGACTTTCTGCTAACTGATTGGTTTTGGTAGGACTCGGAAGAGGTTCACGTATAAGCAGTCGAAGAACAAATGATTGCTTTTCGGGTTGTGTGTTTGTCTGGCTGGCTGGCTGGGTGGTCTGTTTTATTCTATATGCAGTGCAGCGGGTGTCTCTACTGAGTCCCTTCTGCGTGTAGCTGAATTGTCAGCATAAGAGGAATATCAGGCAGGCAGACAGACAGACAGACAAGGCAGATGGGCACACAGGTGGTGATTTCATATTGCATGGCTAGGTTCTTTTCTTATATCTCGGGCGTTATATCCAGTTCCTTACTGCTATTTTTCCACCAATGTATATCTACGTGTTGCATGTAAACTACTAGACGGACCATAAAATCAACAGGTCAATGGACTTCTCAACACAGAACATCAAGTCGCTTCTATTATTCTCTTAGTTATTGTCTTCCTTTTTTTTTGCGTGTGCCGCCCTTCCTACCATATCGTATCTGATAACTCCGCCCTGAACGCCTTTTGTATATTTCAAACTCGGCCCACATGCAGGATATCGTTCGGCCGTTGCCCAGTATTTTACGCCAGCAAGCAAAGGAGAAAGAAAAAGTAAGTAAAACAGCACATCCCATCCCGTCCCCGATCTACCCATATCCCCATGCCCATGCCCATAAACATTCAGCATGTTTGCAACGAACAACCAACCCCCCAAGCATACCCAAGGTGGAAAAGGGAAGAAAATCACCGATAGAACTCCCCCCTCTTAACACTGACACCGTACTCCGACACCGCCATACCCAAGTCCTCCATCGTAAGCACCGTCCGTCCCTGTCCGGAACCTCCAGAACCGCCACCTCCAAACCCGGGTCTCTGGATTCCGAGATGGGTGCCCGCTTTGCCCTTTCCTGCATCGCCGCCTGATACTCCGGTCGCAGCACCGGCGGACCCCACACCCGCAGCGCCGGCGGGCATGTTCAAGCCTGAGGCGGCGTTCAAACTGCCCATGGGGTTACTGGCAGAGGAGCTGTTGGAGGCGCGAATGCGCGCGTACTGGTACGAGTCGGCAGCGATGTCGGCGATAAATTTCTGGGTTGCGAGAGCGAGAAGACGGGCGAGGTGAGGCGGTGTTTGGTTGGGGCCGTTACCCGGAGGTGGAAGACCGGCAAGAGTGAGATAGTGGGCTGTGACGGCGTCGGGGATCTAAAGATATCCGTGTTAGAAAGACATGGAATAGAAATATGGGGTGGAAGTAACTGAGGGTGGTAGTGGAGAGAAAAAGTGATATAAGATGGAATCCAGCTGGAGAGGGCAAGGAATCTTACAATCGGCGCATATTCGTCCATCTTGCCCATGAACTCCCGCAAGCTGGTTTCTTTCTTGGCAGGTGCTGCGGCGGCCGCCAGAGCATCCACGGAGGTGGGCGCGGGGATGGAGTTTCCGGCGGCGGCGGCGGCGTCATCGCCAGCGGGATTCTGGTTCGGCATGTTGGCGGTGTTGTTTGTGTTTATGTCGACGTCTTGTTCGATAGACGCATCCAGGGTGTTGTCAGCGGTATCTGGTTCTTGTTTGGGGACGACAGTCGCGGAGGAGGAATCTTGCGATGCTGGAGGAGCTGGAGCTGGAGCTGGAGCCGAGGCGGAAGCAGGGGCAGCAGCTGGAGGGGGAGGTTGCGAAGCCGATGAGTCGGCCATGGTGGTAGTGTTAATAGTGAATGAAGGTGAGTGGTGGTAGTGGTGACTGGTGGTTGGTGGCTGGCGAGCAAGGGAGGGCCGGCCAGAACTAGTCCAATAGTGAATGAAGGAGCGCGTCGGCGGTCAGACAATGAGCCGGGATGGCGGTGTTGCGCTGGTTCTGAGTTACCAGTACAAGGGAATAAGCTGCAGGGGGGGTTGTGGGAGGAAGACGAAGAATGAATGTGACTTGGGAAGATGGGATGGCGGAGAGTCGACTGGCTGGGTCGCGCTGCCGGAGCGGAGAGCCATTCGTCTCCCTCCCTCTCTCTCTCTGTCTCTCTCTTGTCTGCGGTCGGCCCGATTCTGCTGCTATAGTAGTGTTTCTTTCTGGCTAAATCTACAACAATCTCTGCTTGATAATGGCCAAATAGTGAATTCATAAAGTACAGTCTTGCATTAGATCCCCAATGCTGCCTCGCAATTACGAAAATGAATAATGTTGGTACACAGCCCCAACTCTACATGGCCGTTCGTCTCCCCAGCAAGCAAAGCAGACTCCCCCAATCAACTCCCCCGGACAGTCACATCGGTAATCAACATAATCGCTAGAATAGACGTCGCAAAAGGAAACATAGAACACATTTGATACATGTGGAGAAATAGCAAAGAAGAATGAGATGGGAATTAAGCAGAAGCATAGACAGAAGCCATGACGGACACTTTATTGTCCAAGATGCATGTTGGGATCAACATGGTCTTGATGGTGGGTATGATGCGGATGATGCTGGTGATGGTGATGATGGTGGTGATGCTGTCCAAAAGCTTCACCATGTACCTCCTGGCCCAGCGTCTGCATCAGGTTCTGCTCGGCTGTCTGGTCAAACGCCGCATGCGCTCCAGCATCCGGTGGCATTGGCGACGCCGACATATCGTGGCCATGTGCCAGTCCAACAGGCTGCGCATGCGCACCGGCAAGCGCCATCATGCCCTTGATGCCTTCGACATGCGCCTTGTCCTCTTCGCCCTGCTTCTTCTGCCGTTCGCGGGCCTCGCGTTTGGCTGCCTGCGCGGGCGCACGCGTCTTTAGCTCTCCCGTCACAAACTTCAGGTAATACGGTACTTCAATGCCACTCTTGAGGAAGAACAGCTTCAGGTTTCGCGCCTTGTCCTTCAGTTGAACCTGGTTGCGGTCCTTCAGCGCTTCGCTGATGGTGCCTCCCGGGCCAAACATGGCAAGTATCTGACTCCAGTGCGGGCCCTTAACCCGGTCCAGCCCGGCCATCAATGCGTTCTCCTCCTCCGTCGTCCACGGTCGACGCTGGCTGGGCAACCCAGACTTGCGGCTGCTAGGCGACGACTTGGCAGATGCCGCCATGCGCGCGCGCTCGTAGAGTACCTGAGTCGGCTGCGACTGCGAGTAGTGTGGTATCCCCGGCATATAGCCATGGTTGGCTGCGGCTGAGTTTGGTCGCGGAATCGAAGCAGGCGTCACATGGTTGTATTGCTGAAAGTTCGCCTGGAGAGGGCTTTGCTGGAAGGTTAGTTGGCCGGGCGGTTGCTGATAGCCAGACGGAGCGGGACTATGGTGATACGGCTGCTGATGAGTCTGCTGATGCTGCATCTGACCCGTGGGCTGGGCAGCAGAATAGCCATGCAGGATCTGACCCCCCTGCTGCGGCGCATGTTGAGGGGGTTGCTGCTGAAGTTGCTGGGGTTGATGCATCTGATGCTGTTGTTGGTGCTGCTGTGGTTGCTGCTGCGACGGTTGCTGCTGCTGGTTCTGTTGGGCCTGCTGCTGCTGGGAACGTCTCAAGCCGTGGCCTTGCAGAGCAATTTGCGCCGCACGAGCCGCACGCGCAACCAAGTCGCCGTGCATGTTTCTATCAACGGGAACATCAGGTGGCTGGGTTGAAACCGGAAACTGGCCCTGCAAGGGAGCATTGGACGGTTGTGAATCCCCGTCGGATGAGGATGGTTGTCGACCCTTGGCGGTCTTTTTCGTCTGGCTCATCGTTAGTGCGAGCACGTGCAAAGAGGGCTGATGGGGATTCAGACCTGTTGGTTGCTGATGGTATCAAAGTTCTTGGTGATGTAGGAGCTCAGGTCCCGAAGAAAATCCTCCCAGTGGTACTTATCCGGCAAGGCCTTCATGGCTTCCTCGTTGTTGACGTCGCTCAGCAGAATGTCACGGCGCGAACCGGCCCGCTTGACAAAGTCCGCTTCACTGGGAGCCAGCTGACGAGTCCCTGGACGCCGATCAAGCAGCTGTTGCTCCAGCTCATCGGGAAACAGGTCGTAAAGAAGCTCAGTTCGGGTTCTTTCCGAATTATTCATCGATGCGATGAACGCCTGGGTCTTGAGTTCCAGGAACAAGGCACCCTGCACCTTGAGTAGACGGCCACCTTCGGGAACAAACACATCGAGGAAATTATCGTTCAGTTCCGAAAAACCAATCTCCTGCGTGCCAAAAATACTAGAAACAAAGGAGGCTAGATTGGCTTTGCGAATAATATCGATCTGGGAGGATTCGGTGAGCTCCAGCTCTGTAGGCGAAAGAAATGACTTTTTGCTCGAGTAAACTTTTTTCGTATGATCAAACAGCGATCGCATGGTGGCATAGGCCTGGCCACTCTCGGTCTCGGGTTCGGAAACGAAGGAGGTGATTTCCTGATACGAGGACTTGGCTAGCAGCGACAGAATCTGGGTTGACTAGAGACATCGGGCGTTAGAATCCTGTAAGCAAAGACACGCGAAGTGAGTCGCAACTTACCAAATTGTCAAGAATGGGCAAACTCTGGATCTTCAGGTGCGAGTTGGCTTTGACGAACACCATACCCTTCGGAGGCGACGCGCTGGACGTCTCCGCCAGTTGTTGCTGGCCTAACACACACTGCTCCTCCACTCGCTCTGCGTGATTCATGATGCTTGAGATCACAGTAGCCATGTCCGAATCAATATCAGCACTGCTTTCTGGTTGGGGCACCGCGCTTTCTGCAGATCCTTCGATGGGAGCGGGCGTGTCTAAAGGACGGTCCACGGGGTGGTCCACAGGGTCGACAACACCAGAGCCTAGTGCAGATGCCAATTCTTCTTCAATCTGATTTCCCGGGACTTGGTCTGCAGTTAATGCGGTCGGTGGAGGTGGTAGTGAAAGGTCAGCTGGCTCGGATTCGAGACGGCGTTTCTTAGAAGCTGGCGGCGAGAGGGAGCCGTCATCTTCCTCGAGAGGGTGAGACATTTTGGGGGAAACTGCCGTAAATTCACGTCAACCCTGTGAATAGAAACAAACAGAGCATACATAAAGTCTTGATCACCGCAAGAGACTGGCCCCAGGGTGTCTGGTTCGAAGACAGTCTGCCCAGGGAGGTGCCGGGGCCAGCGGGAGCAGAGAGACTCCTTCAAACGGCGCGCAGGAGAACTCACCATGAGCGGCGGAATCGGTCACGGAGGGAACAGGCAACTCAGACGAGGCCGCCTCGTCGAGAGACGGGCCTGTACCTCTCGTGTCGACCATGATAGGAACAATTCCTGATGGAAGGGATAGGCGTTGACTTCCAAGAGCAGAAATGAGGGCTTAGGGGTAGGGCGCAGGCGTAGGGCTTTTGGGAAGTGTTAGGTTGAGAATCGCCCCCTCAGATTTTTCCTACTTTTTCCCTCTCCGCCGCCCGGTCGGTCGGGGCACTCGGCTGGGGGTGTGGATTCCAGCTCCATATTATTCCTGGGGATACTCACATTGTAGATAGTTTACTAGCTTGATATGAAGATCTATATTTCTCTTGAAATTCTATCCATATCTTTCTTTGACTATGATAGAAGACAACATATCCAATGATGTCTGTTTGGTCATTCCCAGGTCTGTTGTAGTACTTCTGTTGTGTTTCCCCGACCGTCTTCCCTGCCTTTCCTCTTTCGGAAACCCATTCTCTTGTCTGCCTGGGTGCCTGATCCTCCACTTCTCTCTCTGTATACTCATGATTCTACTGTTACTCCTTCTCTTCTTCCACCACTCTTTTGTCCATCAGCCCTTCATCCGGATTAGGCTTCACTCCGCGAATACAAATTCGTCCCTAGTGTATCATTTGATCGTTATCCAACCCCTCAGTGGTAACATTCATCCAAGGTTACTTCCGTCCAATGCTACTTTATCCATGCGTCATAGACTACCTCCCATCTCTTTCTAGACCTCTACTATTAACCATTGCAACACACTGACGTGCTCTAGCTAAATTTTCAGGATACTTGGAGACTGGTACATTGGCATCTGCAAAACGAGCCCTTCCCCGAGGATGCCAACAGGTGACAGTAGATAGACACGTCTATCACTACAGTCTTATAATACCTGTCTTTATGGCATTTGTAGGCATACTTATGACTGCAGACATAGTACTGAGTATATTTTAAAGCAGCTCAGCTCTGAGTGTCGGACGGACAAAGGCAATTCCCATGGTTCTTGAATGTATGCAAGATGATTGCGCCGTTACGTCCGTGGTCTGTACCAGACGTTAACCGGCCATTGAATGAGTCCAGACACGGACCGGTCCTTGAGTTTGACACCTCTAGGACCCTCGTCGCCCTATATTCCATGGGCACTCCCCGCAGGTTCAGCGTTCCCCTATTTGACCTGGTTCCGTAGGATGCAACTACCGGTGCTGCCAATGCTTTTTATCTGGGGCCCTCCCACTGTTGGCTGATAGAAACTCATTCGCGCATACGTGATTGTGCTGGGTAGTCTTCACTCATAGTGTCGACTGAAAATCTTCACTTTCATGAGAGGCCGACTTTAAGAAGCCCCGCAATGTTTTCTACGCGCCAATTTGTCGCTCTTGCGGCAATCCTGCAGGCAGCTACTCAGGCTTCAGCTCAGGACCTGAAAGAGCAAGTTTGGGCGGTATTCGCCTACACCCTATACGGAGATCGTGTCCCGACAGCCCTGCCTCGTCCCAATATATTGACACCATATGGTGCCAACACACTGTATGAAGCTGGGTCTGCTTTCCGAGACCGATATGTGGCAATCCATTCGACCGACGTCAGCCCGAGTACAAGAATTGAGAGCATCTCTACGTATGCGCTCGAAGACGAAGATCTTGATATTCTGTCTACCACCGATCCATCGGTCATCGCGTCCGCGCAGGCTTTTATGCAGGGGCTATACCCACCTCTCAACGATACTTATGACGTGCAATATCCCGACCCTTCATATCTCATGGCCAATGGGAGCTTTGCAACTGCTCCTATGGGTGGCTACCAATATCCACCCATTGTCACCGTGAGCTCGGACGACCCCCAGTCGGTCGTAGTGGCAGGCCAAGATAATTGCTTCCTGCATCAGATCGCCAATGCTGACTACCAGGCTAGCAGCGAAGCTCAGCAGATGATACAGGAGTCTGACGCGCTCTACAACCGTCTTTATATCCAGGCCCTGTCGGGCGATTTTGACCGCTCTTCAGTCAACTATGCGAACTCCGTCGCGGTCTCCGAATTCTTAGAGTACCAGCTCTTGCACAACGAGACACTATTACACAGCGTCAGCCAAGAGGACATAAGGCTCGCGCGCTGGTATGCCGATCAATATACCTTTGCAACAAACGGCAACGCAGATTCATCCTTGTCAAGTCCAATTGATAGCAGTGCCATTCGCACAATTGCAGGCCAGACACTGGCTGGAAGTATCTTGGATGCATTCGACACCAATGTTCTTTACCGGGGTAGCAGTGGGAAATTGACATTCGTCTTCGGAGGCTACGAGCCCGCTGTCGCTCTTACCTCCCTCGTGCAACTTGCGTCCCCAGCAAATGGAAAATTCTATGGACGACCTGCGCTCGGGGCCTCGCTCACCTTTGAGCTCTTTAGCTTGGAGAATCAATCGTTTCCGACCTATCCCGACCCATCTCAGCTTTATGTGAGGTTCCTCCTGCGCAATGGAACAACATCACCGGAGTTCCAATCCTACCCGCTTTTCGGTCATAGTCCCAGCAGCATCGAGGTTCCCTATAGCGAATTTAAGGCTGAGATGCAGGCATTCTCGCTCAATTCGACGCAGGAGTGGTGTCTCCTGTGTGATTCGACGTCGTCAACTGTATTCTGCCCTGGTGTCCTGGATGATGAAGACGACGGACCGAGTAGTAGCGCAGCCTCTTCCTCCGGACGCAAAGGTATTAGTCCTGCCGTTGGAGGAGTCATCGGTGCGATTGTGACTCTAGTTGTCGTTGGGTTGCTTGCTGCTGCCGGGTTCCTGCTCCTCGGGGTCCGAGTACAGCGTGGACGCAGGGCGAGCTTGGAGGAGATTAAAGGAGGCATTGATTTAGGAAGTGAGTCAAACCTGGCCTTGCGGGAACATGCTGCGCCGCCAGGAAAGACGGCGAGGCCTTGAGCTTGGATTTCCTGGTGGGCCGACGAGCTTGATACCATTGGAAGCAAGAGAAGTATAATAATTAAACAGCGGTCTTGGGTGTTTTCAGTTTTGGGAATTATGCTACGGCGACTATAATACAAAAAGCTACATATTATATTAGCAGAAGATCTGTTCTGCATCTAATCATAATTGTCTTTGGAAAAGAGACGGGGTGACAGAAAGCAGTCAATACAGCATAACCCAACGTTTGAGGGATGCTTAATCAAATGCCTTTATAACACCGCTGATTCATCCACTTGAGACCGGTCCATTTTGACCAGTCCATTTTGACCAACCATTCCACTCGAGATGAGTACTGGTAGCCAGTGGCCAGGTATTTCAGGAGTGCCATAAACATTTCTTGCCTATCTGAAGACTTGCTAAGGTGGTAGTAGTAGCCCTGGTGCCTTCCCATCCGAGGGCCACTCTCTGCTCCAGCGATCGACTAATTTCAAAGCAGGGGCATATAGTACCGAGTACTCTGTATCCTGGTCAAACCACGACGCGAAATATGAGGTTGACGATGCGGAAGGAGGTAATCTGGTGCAGTAGTTTAGCCGAAAGATGTTCGCTTCTCGGATGACATGAATTTCGGGGTGGATAATGCTAGGCAACGGCAAGCAGGGGAGCAAGGGGGAACACGTTGAATGGTCGCGTCAGATCGGGTGCTGAATGGTTCGAACTAAACTGTCTAGTAGAAATGCCTACCCCTCGGGTGGAGTACAGCGATTATGTCCGCGGCGGATTGAAAGTTCTCCGTTCCTTCACTTGTACGGAGTACATCATCGTTCTTACCTATAGAAGGGCCGAACTTCACATTCTTAGCCTATTCGGCAGCACCTCCTCAAAGGAAAAGGAAGAAATAAAATTGGCCGCATCGAATAGCACAGTAGTACATCACGTCAAATTGGTTCACCCTATTAACATCTTTGGCGTGTCATCCTCTCTTTCGCTTGTGTTGGGAAACACCTGACATTTGACGAAACATTGCATACTGCGCTCTGCGCAATGGTACAAATGAAGCGGTCGTGCTCTGGCTCGCCTCTCCCCTCCAAGCGCGTTCCTACAACCGCTTGCCTTACAATTGATGCTCTTAAGGAGCATGACCAAAACGCACGCCCCGTCTCTCTTATTACGCGTCTCGATATCGCTCCAGAGCAAAGTATAAGCGGCATACCAGAAATCCCGGTGCTTTCCCCATCCACCCGCTCCTCACAACGGTCACGGTCCAGCAGCCCATCCAGGCTAAGTGATGCGCACTATCGTTACAGACTTCTCCGGCGTGCGAATATTTGTTGACGATGATCTTCCCATCGACATCCAGCATCATACAGATAATAAGGTTTTCTGTGCATTAGATTTCAACGATGATAACTTATACAAGGTCTCCGAGAAGCTCTGGAACAAATCTAAAGAACTGGCCCGGAAAAAGTCAGGGGAAGCCGAATGGACAGAAGCATTATACACGGCAATTGACGAGCTAAAACCCGATGGGCTCGAAATTGCGCGCAATCGAGGTAAGCTGGCCCCCTACTGCTCTAACACTCAACCATGCTGACTCCTTAAGACTGGCGTGAGGATCTGAAGCCTCCAGTCTATAACCCTCTTTCTACCATCCCGCGAAAACGAGACCGGTCACAACAGATCGTACCGGGTAGCACAACCACCGACAACCTTAATAAATCTCCCTCTATCAACCCGGCTGAACCAACCATTCCCATATTCAAACTCAAAGATCCACGTCCAGATACATGTGTTGGTTTGTCCGATGAGAACTTAGCAAACGCCCTTGTATCCAAAAAGGGCCGTAGCATCGCACGAAGATTTCTAGTTGACCTGCAAGAGACCTCCAGCCTTATCAGTGACCCCCATGTGACACCTCTTGGCCTTCGATTTCCTTTTCTGGTAGTCGAAGCAAAGGCTGCTGCAACCGGAGGAAACTTGTACCAGGCACAGAACCAAGCTGCAGTAGGTGGTTCAGCAGCACTCCAGATCTTCAAAAACCTCTCGGATCTCCAAGATATGGACGAAGGCCAAGGAACCACCGAAGATCGTACTGTGGTGGCCCAAGATTCGCCTAACGCCAAATTGCGCCTCGCCTTTTCTGTCACCACAGAGGGCCCAGTCCACGAGTTATGGCTTCACTTTCAGAAGCCTCGAGAAGAGGATTTTTATATGGTGTGTTTGGGTGCCTGGAGAACGACGTTGAAAGAAAGTTCATTAAATTTCTTGCAGCATCTCTTAGCTGTATTAAGATGGGGAAATGGTGGGTTAAAGGATAACATTATAAGTATTCTTCAGGATTTGTGATCTCTCCGTCGCCTGGTTGGATAGACGCGATATAGGTTAGCGCGTCGACATAATGTAACCAATGGATGTTGGAACAACACTGCGGGCAGGCACGAGCCTTTGCCTGCTATATAGCCTCTCCCTAGAGACCTTCCTAATCCTAGCTGATTTCAAGCGTCTAAAAGAGGAATCTAAAATAAGAAAAGGATATCAAAAGAAAACTGGTGCAGTCTGACTGATTGAGATGACTCAATGTCACATGTTTCTCAATCAACTAACTTAGCAAACATACGTGCTGAAAGTCGATTAGTTGGTTGGTATGGACTGGCAAATGATTGAAACAGACACACACACACACACACACACACACACACAAGGGTATAACCTACAATTATTACAGTACGTGGAGGACCTATTCAAATTAGTAACAACATGAAGTCTCTCAACTAACTCTCGTCATAGTATACTTTGAGAAGCTAGTTTCCGGGTGCAGGATCATCTGTAGGCCCGAACTAGTAATAACCAGGCACGGGCACTCACTAATCCCCAAACGGGTAAAGTGCACGGGATTGCCAGAGGGACCGACCGATAAAGTTTCCCGCTGGTTGATACCGTCATCGTTCTTCGTCCATCAAGCAGATCAATGGAATGCTAGTAATGCTTGTGGAACATTCTCGGCATTGACCATTGTTCTTTATTGCAGAGTTTTCTTCAGAGATTTAGTGGCTTTGGCCCCACGCTGGAAATAGAGGATTGAAGCATCTTTGAGGCTCCGATAAGACTACATATCGTTGCCTCTGCTTAGTTCCCGCTTTGTTTACAAACAACAGCCTCCGTCTCTCTGCATGGCGTAGACTCGCCCTGGTGGCAGGATGCGAACCCAACGATTTGTGGTCTGGCTAGGCACCTTTGCCCTCATCTCATTATGTCTCATTCTTTTCAGAAGTTCCAGTCCTTCACCCTCACCTATTGTGGACTTTTATCCTTCACCCAATTCTCGGCCTCCAACTACTTTGCAGAGGCCCCCAGTACCGTCCAATGCCCAGCTTATTGAACAGACTGGCTACCGAAAGGTTGCTCAGCCAGACAGTCTTCATCCGGTTGCATCGCTTGTCAAGAATGCTGAGCAGCAATTTGATCGGTTACTGTCACGTCAATCGAAGACCTTGGCTCAGGCTGTCGACGAATATCGAGAGCGCTACAACATGCACCCGCCCCCGCATTTTGACAAGTGGTTCCAATTTGCCAAGGATAGAGGGGTTCAGCTGATTGATGAATACGATACAATATATCATGCTCTGTTGCCATTTTGGGCGCTCGAACCGAAGACTATTCGCGACCGGGCTCGGGAGACGCTGGGCTTCGACAATTCTATGATCGGGGTACTGATCCGAAATGGGTCTGTGTCACTGGTGGAAGGTGGAGCATTCGAGCAGGGCTGGCAGCGTAGTGCCACCGCTAAGATGATCAACAGTTTTGTCGAGTATCTGCCTGATATGGATCTCGTGTTTAATGCCCTCGATGAGCCTCGAGTTGTCGTACCCAGCGAGGATCTTCAGAGGCTGGTTGCAATTGCCAGAGATCAAGTCTCTCAGAATACTGTTGTGAATACCATGCCCATAAATGCATGGTCAGATAGACCCAGCGACTTGAATAAAGGGGACCGCATTGATGAAGTGCGTACTACCCGTTTCAACCGATTCACCCGTCAGTCCACATGGAGTTATTCTCGGTCTTCCTGTCCAGTCGATAGTCCGGTCCGCTCTCTCGATGAGCAGGCTGCGGATAACATAAACTCCTATGCTCAAGGCGAGTTAGGATTCATATACAACACCAGCGCCTTTTCCGACATTTGCAACTCACCTTCCCTCCGCTACAAGTACGGGTTCTTTGACCGGCCGAACAGGTTTGAAGCTGTACATGACTTGTTCCCAGTCTTCTCGCAGAGCAAGATCTCGAGCTACCAGGACATCCTGTACCCTAGCCCTTGGTACTGGTCAGACCAGGTACCTTATGAAGAAGACAAGGATATGGAGTGGGATGAAAAGGACAGCCGAATGTTCTGGAGAGGCTCAACAACAGGGGGATACTCCAGAGCTGGGGGCTGGCGGCGACAGCACCGACAGTTGTTCGTCGGCAAAGTTAATGCCCTCAACACAGCCAAGATACTGTCCAAGACCGAAAGTAGCCAATGGAAAACCAGGGGTGTTGGTCGAAACTCCTTTACCGACCTCTTCGACGTTCGGTTCACGTACATTGGCCAATGTGATGATAAGGACTGTGCCGCCCAGGAAGAATATTTTGACTTGGCGGAGCCGGTTGATCAGCAAGACGCTTGGGCGTACAAACATCTGTTGGACATGGATGGGAATGCCTTCAGTGGTCGGTTCTATGCGTTCTTGCGCAGCAGGAGTCTCGTTCATAAGGTCTCAATCTTCCGTGAATGGCATGATGAGTGGCTCAAACCTTGGAAACATTACGTACCCTTGAGCCTGACCGGAGATGATTATCTGGAGGCCATACGATACTTTGAATCCGAAGAAGAGGGCAGAGTGATCGCACCAAGGCTGGCCCAGCAAGGCCGGGAATGGGCGCAGAAAGCTCTTCGGAGTGAAGACATGGAGGTCTGGTTCTTCCGACTTTTACTAGAGTAAGTGCACTTTTTTTTATTCCCTTCTTTACCCCGTGATTTCTAATACTAAAACACCCATCAGGTACGGGCGCCTAGTTGACGACAATCGACATAATTTGGGGTTTTCGGTCTAGCTTTGTATAATGGCTGCCAGTTTTTGCTATTTTGTTTTCTGTCATATTCCCCAACTTTTAACGAACGTATGACATATATGGCGTTTGGGAGCCTTTGCTATGATGAGACGAAAAATTGGGATTTCCAATTGATGTGTATATATGATAAATGAGAAAGCGATAATGAAACTCATAATTCTATATCTTCAGTTATGCTGTCATCCTGTACCAAACACCAATGCACAAAAACCTTATACTCTATACTTTAATAATCAATTGTGGCCCCGTTTCACATGGTGCGGGTCCCATCTGAGCGGGAATTAGGTCATCGGCCCCAGTCCTCGTCTCTTCCTCCCACCGAGTTAGTAGTTCCAGAAAGAGAGCTTGGGTGGCGGAGACCTCTTCCAGTCTCGGAGTTTGCCCCATTAATAGACAGCACCCACTTGAACTAACCAGCACTGGGTAGTTAAGTCTATCAAACACACCCTACCATCATGCTTGCTCACCAGCCAAGAACCGTTTCCCCTCCACCTCAATCCTTCCCTCTTTCCCGCCTCTAGTATCAAGCCCTTTCTCTCTTTCGGGCTAGTTCCGTCAGGTGGATTTTCTGTTTGCTTTGCTCTCAGTCTATAAATTTGGCTGGCCTCCGCTGGTGGTTGTCGTCAGCTCACTTTCTCCCCTTTTTTTTTCTTTGTTTCCTCTTCCTTCGGTTGGCGGACCTCACTAAGTACTGTAGTACTGGCAATTAAGTGCTGCTACCAGCTGTTCATTGATTGATTGACAGTTTGTGTATCTGCATGAGACAGATACATACATGCGTGCATCATGACGCCGACAGCTTGGTTGCTTGGAAAGCTTAAATCAGCTGTGGTTCTGACCTATGGGCTGGGCGGACTGTTGTTTTATGGCCTTGTTGCTGTGAAGCTGGGGTATTTCTTTAAGCAGACTACGGAGAAGGAGGAGTTGGAGTTGAAGATCGGTAAGAATCTTGATTGCTATAATTTTCTTTGTTTACGTCCCTTATTGTGATTGTGCGGGGGCTCTCAAGCTAATGACATATGATGTGGGACACAGCGCGTAACAAGTTCTGGGACTTGTCCAAGAAATGGGACGGCTTTTCTCATCATATACTTACCCTGAGAAATGGGTTCAAGTTTCACTACGTTTGCAATGATCAGGGGGCCTCGTTGGACCAGGATAAACCCGTGGTTGTCTTCATCCATGGTTTCCCCGATAGCTGGGCCATCTGGCGGAATATACTGAGCTCTTCGTCTCTTCAGCAGTCTGCGACCCTTATTGCGGTTGATATGCCCGGTTATGGTGGAACTGATAGCTTGAATGATTACTCGCCTACTAATGTGCTTGAGAGTCTGACCGAGTTTATCCTTGCGATCAGAGCCAAATATGGCGTGGATACCGAGGCTGGTGTGCGCCAGAAGAAGCTGGTTGTTGTCGCGCATGACTGGGGTTGTGTTGTTTCTATGCGGCTTGCGGCTGAAGCTCCTCAGTTGGCGGATCGGTTTATCCTGAGTAATGGGCCGTTGGTACGTTATTGCAGAGATTCTACGGGGTATTTTCGGTTGTGCTGATGAAGTTAGCCTCGACTTGCCTCGTCCAACATTAGTCGCCTGCTATCCGCATCTGTTAAGATGTTGAAGACGGCCTCGCGCTCGCCAATCCAATCACGGTCGATGATTTTCAAGGCATTCGCGACTTTGAGCCCGATTTTTCGGCAGTTTCGGAAGTCCAAGTACATCTTTGCTATGCAGCTGCCCATGCCTCTGGTTCGGTATTTCGGAAGAGGTGGAAATTATTCCTTCCTGAAGCTCATTCACAGGGGTTCCTTCGGAAAGCGGGAGTACACGCCTCAGGATGCTGCGGAGTGTTTTGCTAGCTCCTTGGGTCCATCGGTTGCAGAATCCCGGACTCAGACCGCTGATGGAGAGCAATATCCCGAGTCACTGAAGAATGAGCGCGCAACGTCGAGCTTCCAGCACATGGCCTGCTATTACCGAGATAGAACTGCTTTCGTGCGTTGGGACAAATCTGTTGAGACGATTAGTGCCTTGCACAGCATCGCGAGCAGTAGCGGTGGTCGTCGTGCCAGCAGCGGGGCTGGACTGATGATGGACCCAAGGGGGCCCTGAAAGCTTGTGCGACCGTCATTTGGGGCAAGGGAGACATTGCCTTGGAGCCACAGATCTGCTTGGATGGCCTCGCCGATTACCTCGTCGCAGACAGTCAGTTGGTCGAGCTTCCTCTCTCGGGCCACTTCACTCCGTTGGAACAGGAGAGCCAGGTTGCTTTGGAAAAGGCGGTTGAGTGGGCTGTCAAGGGCGAGAAGGAGGACATTGGGGCGGTTATCAAGGCTTGCTATCCAACGGCTGTAGTAACTCTTCGGAAGTGAACTGACCCGAGCGTGTTGTTTGCTTGAATTGCTATTTTAGGACGCCCCTTGACTTAGTCCTTCCTTCGTTGTCGTGAATGTTTTGCCGAGACTGGCTCAGCAGGTGCAGGGTACACAAAGCCAGGTACACGGTTTCTTGTTTCCGCGCCGAGACCGCTATCGGTGCACTCAAAGGGGAATAAAGAGTGCGGACATGCAAGGGGCATTCGGGGTGGTTGGCTGTCGGTCTGGCTTCTAGGCTGGTCTGCAATCGGAATTTCACAGATGCTTTCCCTTCCTCCTTAAATAGACGGGAGTTTTTCGCAACGCAACGTGCATCTCCTCCGACATCCGGTGAATAAACGGCCGGGAGGAGCAAGCGTCGGTGGCACGGGGACGCGGCCTGATGCAGTTGAGCTCTGCCGCTCCTCACCAATTAATCCCTGGCGTTTGCTTTGGCTCCTTTTGTCCCCCTCAGACCATCCCCAGCCAGCGTGCGCATTGACTTTTCTTTCCCCCAGAGTGGTCCCGAGCCACGAACGAGCTACCCTTTTATTTTTGTATCCTCCATTTACCCATCATTCAGCGAGCAGATCAATTCAATTCAATTCAATTCAGTGTCGTGTGGTATTCGTAAATCCAGCCAGAAAACCAAGTCTGGTTCCATCCGCATCTTGAGTCCCCAGCCTCCCAAGGACTGCTCACAGCCGGACCGACTTGCTGATTGCTGATTATGCTGGCGGGCGGGGTTTAGCTCCAAACGTCACCTGCGAGTGATGGGGATCGTAGTAATTTGGGGGTGACTAGCTCAGTACCTCGACTAGCTCTCAACCTGCCTTCTCCTCCTGCTTTCTTTCTCGCCTTCGTGCACCTCACATTCGTTTGTTTTTGTTTCTTTGCATCACTTCCCTTCTCGTAGCTGGTGGTCTCGTGGATCGCGCGGCTCACCTCCCGCCGCAATGGTTCAAGGAAGTGCCGTCTACTGCACTGTATGTTCCGCCTCCTCACCCCGTGATCACGTTGCCTGCTACTAATTGGTCCCGACAGCTTCTATTGAGTGATCACTATCTCCCAGGTATGCAAGCCTCTTCTACCATCGAACCACTGTCCAAAGCTCCCATTCTGACTTGCTTCCACTCAATCTATAGGCGCCACCGTTCTTGCTCATTCCCTCCGGGACAATGGCTCCAAAGCTAAGCTGGTTGCTCTGTTCACCCCGGACAGCTTGCAACCAGCAACAATCCAGGAACTTCAGGTACGCGCATGCTTTCACTCACGCTAAACAATTCCCACCTCACAGTGCCATCACTGACTCGCACATCTTAGGCTGTTTATGATGAACTAATCCCCGTGCACCCTCTGACAAACATCACTCCAGCGAACCTCTGGCTCATGGATCGGCCGGACTTGATCGCAACCTTCACAAAGATCGAGCTCTGGCGTCAAACACAGTACAAGCGCATAGTCTACATTGATTGTGATGTGGTCGCACTCAGAGCGCCCGATGAACTCCTAGACTTGGAGGTGGATTTCGCAGCGGTTCCAGACGTAGGCTGGCCGGATTGCTTCAACAGCGGTGTTATGGTACTCCGTCCTAATCTACAGGATTATCTTGCTCTTAGAGCACTGGCAGAGCGAGGTATCAGCTTCGATGGCGCTGACCAGGGGCTTTTGAACATGCACTTTCGCGATTGGCACCGACTGAGCTTTTCGTACAATTGCACACCCAGTGCGAACTACCAGTACATCCCCGCCTACAAGCATTTCCAGAGCACAATCAGCATGATCCATTTTATCGGCGCCCAGAAGCCCTGGAATATGGCAAGGCAGGTGGAGCCGATTCATTCTCCGTATAATCAGTTGCTGGGAAGGTGGTGGGCTGTCTATGATAGGCATTATCGCCCTGTCATGACTGTGAATGTTAGTACTATACCCATGGATAGCCATTGAGGCATATTCACATAGTGTCTGTGAGCTAATGATATCAGCAGCCAATCCGACCAACCAAAGCTCTGCCTACAATTCAGGTGGAAAGCCCACACCAGGAATTTTCCGGGGGACCCCAGCATGATGTACAGCAGCCGCCACACAGACTGTATACGGAGCATGTATACCATGACCAAGCTCAAGAAACGCACATTGAACCGTCGTTGCAAGCGCAATACCAACACCCGCAAGAACACCAACAGATATCTCACCAGGACTTCGCGCCGTTCCAGCCAGCTCAGCCACCTACTCATCCACCAGCATCGGCACCAAGCTACCATACACAAACTGCGCACGAGGTTCCTCAGGTGCACCAAACGCATGCTTACCAAGCGCATCCTCAACAGAGTGTGGCAGCCCCGGCTCCCGAACCTACGCCTGTAGCAGGCTCAAGTATACCCACTGAGCACGAGCAACGACAGGAACAGCGTGCGGTTGAAAGTGTACAAGCACCAATCGTCAGTGCCGTTCCGCGTTATGTTCGTGGAGAGGAGCATGTGACGGCATACATACACCCTCAATCAGGCGAGACATCATTTGTAGCCCATAACGAGCCGCAATCGCATGCACATGAATTTAGCGTGCCATCAAATGTACAAGCACCTCCCCCACAGCCACAACATGTCCAGCACGGATACCACCAACAGCCTACGGCGCCAGTCCATGTGCCTGAGGAGCAGCCACCTGCACTGCCATCGCCAAAACCTGAAGTACAGACTACGTTTGAGCCACCCAAGGCAGAATGGGATGCATCTAAGTAGGCTTCTCAATAACCTCACTAAACTGCTTGTTTCTGACGCTTCTAGGGAACCACCGCCATTGAACACAAAACCAGAAGGTATCGCTTTGGCAAAGAAGACGTACGCCATGTCGCAGGATGAGCAGCTTTTCCAACCTCCACAGTCTTACCCGGAAGCACCTAAGAACATGTATTACGACGTCCCTAGCACCAAGCCGGAGCCTGAAAAGCTCGCCCAGGTATTCCCTTGGGAGAGTCATGCACCTAGACCAACGCGCGTGTTCCCAGAAGACGACCAGAGCTCAACTACATTTACCCTTCCAAAATCCTTCATTGAAAGCACGGAAGACGAGTCTGGCCCATCGCTTGATTCTCGAGTGACGTCCTGGACATCTGAAGAGCCCACCGAATCCTGGGACACGTACTCGCGGTCTAATGCATGGGATGAGGTCCCGGAGATCCAAAGATACATTCAATCCATACAACAAACCCGCAAAGGCAGGGTGCAGGTGCTCACCGGCGGCCCATCCAGCACAGGACAGAGCCTGGTATCTGGTCAAGAAAGATACAACTTCAGCTGGTCCAACAATACGCGGGTGACAGACTTCCCCAGCGAGCAAGAACGGCCAAGCCTCCCCGTAACCCCGGCACCTATTCGCAGGAAGCCCCCTATCCCAGGTGAAGAAGACTTCGACACAGGGCTACTACCGCTCGCACACGGTGTGCCGAACCAGGAGGACTGGGTGGGTATCACGGTTGATATCTTTTTGCACCTCCTTCGAGCGACGTACTTATATTGGAGATTTACAGAACCCTACAGTCGGCCTCGAGGACCTTCGTCGACGTCAGTCCGAAGTGATGGAAAATCCAGATTTGCTGTTTGAGCGGATCTTGATGCGCTCATCGGCTGCTTCTGGTCATTCTTGAGGGAGTCACAGTAATGAGTTACGTACGATATTATGTATGATTGCGTTGTTTTGAGCATTGATTTACTTATTGATTCCACAGCAATGCGAGTTCTATCTTTATTCCTTAGCTAGCTGCCTTGTCTCACATCTCTTCATGTTTTTTTTGTGCACAGCATTGTTATCTTTGCTAGCTCTCTTCTTGTTTGTTCCTTCTATACCTTGTCTGGCATTGTACAGTATCTTTTTGACCACATGCATATGCATCCAATTGCTGTGTTGTTTCGTTTGCGGATACAAACTGTTACTATGCCATACATTAGGAGCGCATCCTTGTGATTCTGACCTGCTTTGAGTGTTCCAAGACTGAGTTGACGACTGTTACTTTATGTTTATTAATATTGTGGTTTGAGCGAATTGAAAGAGCTATGATTGTGTCATGAGAGTCTTGCGCGCTCTCGCTTCCAGCCAGCAACTCTGAACCTTTCAAGAATACTATTTACATGCCCTCGTCTAGTCTATTTCATAAACAGCAGAAGGATATCGAACGACAAGACGCCATACAACTGAACGCAATTACCATGCTAGGAATAAGTAGGGGTGGTATAAATAAGAAAAAACAAACAGTCACTCCAATCAACACCGCTCTCCCCGAACCGAATAAACATGCGACGTCTTGATATGACAGGCCTTGCCGGTCTTATCGTCGAAGATGGAGAAGCCGTGCGTTGCTGCGTTAGGAGGCGTGTATACTTTCAATGAATCACAATATTAGCATGTAATCTCACGTAGAACAGCCATAACGAGAATGACGGCGGAACCTACGATGCAATGATACGGCATAATCATTAGGGTCTGGGTTCGAGATTCGATGAAGACCCAGCTGTAAAACGCACGACGTGACCCATGCATTAGCCATACTTCACTCAGTGATAGTATAAACCAGTAAATTATTTAAGACACAGGGACTGATAGACAAACCTTGTCGGACATATACGTAACCTGATTCTCACCGTATATAGTCTCCTTTTTTATTTGCGGTGGAGAGGATTCTCCATTTTGAAGCTTGCCTTGGTCTGGCCAGGCGTAGAGTGTTTCTTTTAGAGAGCCTTTCAGGATCTGCCATTAGATTGTTTGAATAGTTGGTTAGCTTAGTTCGCAGACGGATAACTTATTCCTAAGGAGAATATGATAGTACCTTCATGACGCAGTGTGCATTAGCGTGATCATGTATTGCGCTTCCCTTTCCTGGACTCCAGACCAGAATGAGCTTGAACATACTCTGTCAGTACAGATCTCCAATGGCTTTGTCTTTAGGCAACTGTACGAAAGGTGCATGACATAAGCAAGATACGAGGAACTCACCAGATTGCTCTTGCCATTGCCCTCGTCGATGAGGTTCCTTGTGTAATTCTTTTTCGAGTCCCCCAGCGCAAAGGGGAGCCATTCATCTGGATTCGAGTCATAGCGTTCCATTAAGCGCAGAATGTCCATTGGATCAATGTCATCGGAATCTAGACCCGAGCTCGGACCCAGAGCGTCACTTAGATCTTGGACGAGGTTCTCGAACCCATTGTTCGGAGAGGGATTGGGTTTGGAGCAGGGGTCTGTGTTGATGTATGGCATGCTGGTTATGGGTGTTTTGTCTTATGAAAATAAATGCTTTTGTGCTTCTCTTTGGTTGCTGTATGATATAGATAATTTCGGTTATCGGAGGATTCGGAAGGAAGTATAGATGGTGGTAAAGACAGAGTGGAAGGAATGTGTAGGGTGCCTTTGAGTGGACAATCTGATCTAGAGCAATGCAGAGAATGAATGTATATCACACAGCATCCATTGCAGCCACTACGAGTCTCCAGCCAGTGTAAATGAATGTTGTGAATTGAGTATGGTGGATGTGGGATGATCCCCGATCCCGGCGGAAGGAAAAGCTCTCGCCACAATCACCGATAAGCGTGGATTGGATGCCTGAATTCTTGTGCCTGAGGCAGCCTCCCCGCCATGTGACGAAGCAAACGGACAAATGAAGTGGCGGCCACAATTTCAAAGATTGTATCTCCACCATTGCGACTGACATACCGCGAGCGTTTTCGTTCAGGTTCTCACCACGACACCGCTGGAAAGGGTTTCGATCGCTAGGGTGGAAATCCTGCAAATTTAATTATCCCTAATTCTCTTTCTTTTGTCTTGCATAGTCTTTTTCTGTACCGTTTGCGAGGGGTGAAACTCGTATAAAACCGCCAAAATGTCGACAACCGTGGAGAAGGTTGGATAACCCGCCACTATTGCTCTATTTTGTTTCTCTTTACTGTTCATATTGAAAGTTAAAATAACAGACTGGATTATGCTGACTGTCTTTGTGTGTACAAATGTAGATCAAACAAGTCGAGGACGAGGTTCGCGCCGAATGCCCGTTAAAAATATCTTGCGCCGGAATTCGTATACTGATCGGTTATTCAGATGGCTCGGACTCAGAAGAACAAGGCGACGGCCTATCACTTGGGTATGGGATATATGGGTTTTGGAGTTGGTTCGAGAGCAGACAGAGCTGATGGCATTGTGCAGGACAGTTGAAGGCCAAGCTTGCTAAGCTGAAGCGAGAGCTGTTGACTCCGACTGGCGGTGGTGGTGGCGGCGGTGGTGGTAAGTGAAGAGTGTCTGTGTCGGTGGATGTGTCAGTTACTGACTATTGGATTGCTAGCTGGCTTCGATGTCGCCCGTACCGGTGTTGCTAGTGTGTATGTCGCAAAACAAGTCTCGAAGGTGTGCGGGTTATATACTGACTCTGGAAAGTGGTTTCATTGGTTTCCCTTCCGTCGGAAAGAGTACCTTGATGAGCAGATTGACTGGCCAGCATTCCGAAGGTTCGTTGCAGGCGAGTCCTAGTTAACGGTATGGTGCTAATGGTGCTTTGTACAGCTGCTGCTTATGAGTTCACGACTTTGACGACTGTCCCTGGTCAAGTGATGTACAACGGTGCTAAGATTCAGATTCTCGATCTTCCTGGTATTATTCAGGGTGCCAAAGATGGTAAGGGTCGTGGTCGACAGGTCATTGCAGTGGCCAAGACCTGCCATCTCATTTTCATCGTGCTCGACGTCAACAAGCCGCTAGTCGACAAGAAGGTCATCGAGAACGAATTGGAGGGCTTTGGTATCCGTATCAACAAGCAGCCGCCCAACATCACCTTCAAGAAGAAGGACAAGGGTGGTATTGCCATCACAAGCACCGTTCCTTTGACGCATATTGATCACGACGTGGGTTTCTGGAATACAAAGTACGTTGACGTGGTGCACTCTGGCTGACTTGAATCATTAGGAAATCAAAGCTGTCATGAGCGAGTACAAGATCTCGTCGGCAGATATTTCCATTAGATGTGACGCAACGATTGATGACCTTATTGATGTTCTTGAAGCTAAGAGTCGGGCTTACATCCCCGTCGTCTATGCCTTGAACAAGATTGATGCTATTACGATTGAGGAGTTGGACTTGCTGTACCGGATACCTAACGCCTGCCCAATCAGTTCTGAGCATGGCTGGAACATCGACGAACTTTTGGAGATGATGTGGGAAAAGCTCAACCTCCGGCGCATTTACACCAAGCCTAAAGGAAAGGCTCCCGATTACACGGCCCCCGTGGTGCTGAGATCACATTCTTGCACGGTCGAGGACTTCGTAAGGCTCCCTCTACCTCGGCAGGCCCGATCACCCTTGTTAGACGGGATCCGCTGACGCGCAATCAGTGTAATTCTATTCACAGGACGATCAAGGACCAGTTCAAGCACGCTATTGTGTATGGTCGCTCCGTGAAGCACCAGCCGCAGCGTGTTGGTCTGTCACACGAGCTGGCAGACGAAGATATCGGTTCGTACTTCTTCTTTAACTTCAACCTCAAACAAGCGATCATTAGGATCTCCGGGGCTAACTAGCGGGGGTGTGAACTGCAGTGTCGATTGTCAAGCGGTAAATGAGTCTTTACTGGAGCGCGAATCCAATCCTTGGAAGGATCCGCTTTTATGAACGGGGCGAGAGCTATGGCGAATCGAAATCGGACTCGAGAGGGAATCGAAATCGGTAGCGGTGTTGGGGCTGCTTCGCCAAGTATCAGGTCCAAGAGGCCCGGCCCTTGTGACATATTTCCGTGAGATGCCATAAGGATTGTGATTGGGGGAAGACGAGGTGCGCACGGGCAGCAAGAAGAAGCTGGCGAACGCCGCCCTGGATTTTCAGCACGATCACTCGTCTGGAAGACGGAAGCCTGGATGGATACCATTGAGTCAGTATGGATTGGATTGCTTCTCTTCTATCTACTACTACTCAAATCTGTGTGATGCGCGATCCTCTTTTAGGAAGGCGAAAGAGGAAAAGAAAAAACAAAAGCGGCTTTGGAGGCAGTGAGTTTTTGTTACGAACGCTGAAAAAAGGGCTGGAATAGGCTACTATTTTCTTTTTTTTTTAACCCCTTCAAATCTGTTCTCCTGGATCAGCGGTACTTAAGTAGTTCTGCCGTTTTTATATTTTCTTTTATCTTTTGTTTCATTCTTTTTTTCACACCCTCTTCTATTCTTATTTTATTTTGGAGCGTTTCTTCGATCCATCCATCCTTGGTTGATGTATGGTCGAAACCGAGTGTCCCGATCCGAAAAAAAGGACCAGTGAAAGAAGGAGAGAAGAGAAGATCGGGGATGTTCTAGATCAAAGGCCCAGACTAGCATTTCCAGTCTCGTAGACCAATCTGAACCAGCTAGACTATGTAACCATACTTCCATTTCATGCGCACACAGATCAATCGAGTAACTCTCCAACCACTACTAGTAGTACTACCAAGTTCCGTGCGGAGGGATTTGCTCGCTTACTACTTTACGTACTTACTTACCTTTCAATTCTTTTTCTCTGAACTGGACTGATTTGATTTGATTTGATTTGATTCTGATTGATTGATTGACCGCTTCCTTCCTTCCCCTCCTTCCTGGCCCAGGCGCAGTTGTCTCTTTTCTATTAGTAGTAGTAATAATAGTAGTAACCTACAATTTAGGTTCGAGGTCAGCCAACATCCACATCGCTTGGACCAGCCGAACCCAGTCAGGCCTGTGCTTTTTCGACTAGTTAGTTAGTTAGCAATCAAGCAAGCAAGCAAGGAAGCGAAAAAGCAAGAAAGAAAGCACAGCGCACGTCCCTCTATTTTTCCTTTTCCCTTCGTTTATTTTTATTTCTTCTTTCCTATTGCTTCGCTTCAATGGTGTCATTTATGAAGAGGGGGAAGAGGAGCTCTGATTCAGGATAGTACTAGTACTTAGTAAAGATGATCCATGCGCTCCAATGTGTAGTATATACGCATTGTGCACGATTCCCGGTGCTCAGGCAATCTAATCATCATATCACCTGGTATGTTAGGACCTGCACGTTATGTACGTATGTATGTAGATAGATGGACTGAACACATTTAAGCATTGTTTCTAGTTCTGCTGCGCTGAGATCGGAGTTCATACTTACGGAGCGATCTTATGCGAGGCGAAATTGAATTTATCCTAGTTGGGTCTGATCTGATCTAGTCTGGCCATGTGCATATCGAGCTATCTCAATGCTAGGTAGGTAGGGTATTTTATGAGTAGATGGATGTAGCATGGATTGGGCAAGCTCGCTGGGGGTGATTAGGTGGTAGTAATCCAGATTCAGAGACGTAGGACATGTTCGTAGGTAGATAATCAGATGGTGAGCAAGCACAAATCATTATGACTTGAATATCTACGATCTACCAAAGGTATGGTGGTGGTGGTGGTGCTATTCTTACCGTTCGCGACCAATTTAGCACTCAGGTGTCAGGTCCAATCAAGATGGAGGATGGGGGTGGCTTTTCTTGGTCCATTCTAAACGAAGGCTCCATTTATACGAGTGGAGGAGTCGGTTGAGGGCCACAATTAGAACGCTTCTGGGGTTAGTAAGTAAGTAAGAAATCTGAGTTCGGTGCGTTCATTCTAGCTAATATGTAGCTAGTTAGTCTACGGGTGGATTGAGAGGGGGGACATGGTCGGGCACAGTATTTCGTACACCCACGGCCAGGCCAGTCTTCTCAAACCTAGTAGTATCCAGATTGATGCTGTGGTGAATCTTTGATTAGGACTAATTATTGTGGAATAGTAATGCTATGCTCAACTAACTTGGCATTCTAGAGACGCCTCTTGAGCGGTATGAGTAGTTGGATGGTGGAAGTAAGTAGTACCTGACCTTCTGCAGCTAATGGCTGCGCCTGCAGATGCGGACAGGGTCTGGGGTACTTGGAGGAGCACCTCGATAGGACACACTCCAGCAGGGATTATTATAGTAGTAGTGAGTAAGTGTAAGTAGTAGTACGGAGTAGTAAGTAAGTAATGCCGTCTGCCCCCTTCAGCCGAGTCTTCATTTATTTCTTCATTTGCCGGGATGACGTACCTGTCATAACCATACGGTACGATTACCAGGAGAGAGGGGTAAGTACCGATACTTACTTACTATCTAAAGTATACTAGTGAGAGGCGGCGTAATCGGTCAATCATTAGCCATCGTCTAGATACTAACTGTCTAGGCCATGGCGTCAGTGGTTCAGAAATTTTCTCTTGGTTTTTGCGATCTTATCCTTTTCTATCAGCACTGGCAGTTTCTCGGAAATATGGTGAGCTCATCATGGCCATGACTGTCGCGTAAATCCTAAATCAACCCTGGGTTTATTTCAGCACTTACTAAACAGAGTAATTGTTCGACTTCAGATGAGAATGGCTTGAGCATCTTACTCACTTACCTACCATCTACTTAGTTAGTGGATTGATCTCTTAATTTCCTTTCATTAATATTGCTGATTATCTCTTTCTCTCTCATCGACCGGATAAGTAATGTGGTCAGTGTCTGGCCCCCTGAACCAATAACCGTCTCCAGACGAGGCTCTTGATAACCGCCTGCTCCATCGATAATGCAGGCTGGAAGACTTCGTCGGAGTATAGAGTACCCTGTGCATGGCTACTGACAGTTTCTCAAGAAGCGGTCTGCGCGGGCGAGCGGGATGAAGGAAGCTGTCATGACGGGCGGTAATGATTCCCTGCTCATAACAGGACCTCAACTCCTATAAGATCCGGGAAATCCCTCTGCGGTATTACTAATCCTGCGAAGCGGAGCTTGTCCTGCGCCCTGCTCCAAAGTCTGCGTTCATCTGCATATGACGGGCGAGTCACCGTTGCTGTTAGTTAATGCACGACTGCTTTTTATTGCGGCGGGCTGGGTGGGGAGGGCAAGGGGAACGGGCTAGGTTGTATACAAAACTTGGTAGCGATGGGGGAGAGTGTGAGACCCCAGCAGGAAATGGTGGGAAAGGAGGGGCAAAACTAGGAACAAAATTAGGGAGGACAAGCCCGAGCTGGAGACACTAAACAGGCTGGAAAGCAAGCGGACAGGGAACCTCAGCCAAGTGGAGCAGTTTAGCATGGCTGATGATGATCATTTCAGCAGATAACCTCCTGCAGTGATGGGGTGCCTTTCTCAACCCCGAGTATCTCCAGAAGGATGATGATTCGTGAACGACGAATTATAATAATCTTGCGAATGATGGATAATGCATCCGATAGAAGGGTTATCTTTCCCCCCTGGTCACTTGCGAGAATACATTGTCTCCTGATGTTGAGATCTGCTCTTCTGCTGCGGCACAGCCTCGACAGACAGGCCGAATGGATGTCTGAAGAAGGCCTTGCCAAGCGTTATGGCTGAAATCCCCCTGGTTCCCGTGATCCCCAATTCTCAGTACTCCATAATTCAAACGAATTTTTCTCATCAGATGACCGAAAACGCACCGTCCGACGGACGTTGATTCCCACTGGGAAGTGGAGGCTGCATTGCATCTAAATGCTGCTCCTTCTCCGCCCGTCTCACCTTATTTGCCGGGAATATCACGATGCGAAACGGCCTCGCACAAATGAGCTCTCTTATTATGCCATTTCTCTTCACGGCCATCCAGTCCAAGCAATTTTGCCTTGGATAACGCGGTATCCTCGGCCATCACCATAGCCAATACAACCGTGGTGGCTTGCGCTGGTCAACACACAAAGGAAGCCCCACGGCGATATCGAGGGTTGTTTGATGGATAACGTGAGGAATGGCGCTTGAAGCGGAGAAGGTATTGTAAAGGACAAGGAATCCTTATATCGGTGATCTGAAGACATGGAGGATGGGTAGATGGTATGTTACCTGTTACGGGACCGTAGGGTCTGGTCAGGCAGGCGCGAACTGCACCCGCCAATCTCCACTCCGATGTAGGCCTCAGATCTCTCTCTCTTTCTTTCTTTCTCTCTGTTAATCAAGTACATACACATACCTCGGCCATTCCCGATCCCACCGCTACATACTCACTAGTCCAGCAGACGCCCGCAACTGTCCACTAGTTACTCATGGTACAACTTGTTCCTCCTTTGTGATGTCATACTCACTGAGACATTTAGTTAGGCATTCGTCGGACTCGGAAGTGTTCCGTTTAGGACGAACCACCCCTCTTCTCGAATCCCACCATGGGCGGTTACGGTGGTAATTGGCAAGGTAGAATGGTGGCACAGCAGTGCACACTGCATGTACCTCGGACATGCTACATTGGAATAAACGAATCCAGTAGAAGCCCCCTTGACTCCTGCAATGGCTTGTGTACCTGACAGATATCTATTATTGGTCTGGTAAACCGGTAAGGCTACCATAAGATGGTGCCTCATTCGGTGCCTGTCGTCGCACACCCCGGCCCGTCCCCGGCCATTTCCCCTTCCGACCTCCTCCTCTACTACAACTTACTAAATACCCTGGTCCATGCGAGGCCCTGTCGCTGAGCGGATCATTGGATTCAGCCAGTGAAAGTTCTGCTCTAAGCGCCTTCTCCAGCAGCTGCTGGCCTCTACTATGACCTCAATGCTTCTTGTGCGATATTTCCTTCTCTCCTCTCTTCCATTTCCCACTCCAGCTTTTTTGGGAGGGGGCGAAGCGCAACATCTTGAAAATTGGACTGGCCAGGCAGAAGCGAGTAAAAAAAAAAAAACCTTGCGTGTATAGAGTATATGTGAGTTTCATTGGCATACATCAGTGGTGATAGCATACCTCCCTCCCCAGGAAGCGTACACTGGAGTGTCGCTTTATGTGGTAACGTCTCATAAATACCAAATTACCGGCTTGTCTGATTCGCAGATACAAGCAGATCATCTGTTGGACATTCGGCTGTGCTGCCACGCACGGAAAGTGGCAACGACCTTCGAAACAGATGGCTTCATGGTAATAATATCCGTTGTCTCAATGGGCATTGCTTGCAATCAAAAATCAAAACTTTTTTTCCTCATATTTCAACCTCATTGTCCCATTGAATACTTTCATCTTACAGACACATATAACCTTATTATCATAATTGCACTATGACTTCCTGCCTACACAACAAGGCCCTTCGTCCACCGTCACTTAATCTAATTTCATATACATCACACCGTGACGGATAGTTAAGGCTTGACTGCACGGGAAATGTATTACATACAATCACTTAGTACCTGACTCACGACAGCAGCCTCGTGGCCATCCACCCATGCGGGGCGGATTGGCAACGGAAGATGCAACCAGAAATGATCCCAGATCAGTCTCACATCCCTAAAGAGTACAGCATACGTACCTACATAACGTTTGATACCAAAAGACTGAATACGGGGAACTCTTAGCCCCTAGTACTATTTGGGCACTATTGAAGCCCCAGTAAGGCTGCACTTGCATGTAGACCTGTCGCGTTCCGCTCAGGGCACCCAAGTCGCACGGCCAGAGGATCGAAGTGAAATGCAGTACCTTTTTTCTCCCCCTCATCTAATCAGTACCTGGCCAGACTGTGTTGGATGATGAGATATGCTGTTTTAGCGGACATTTGGGGGGAAGGAGGAAGAGGAGGGGGGGCGCACTTTGACAGGAAGTTAAATCTAATCAACCGACTCCGACTCCGACTCCTAGGGAGTCAGACAAGTAAGGCTAAAAGCTTGCAATGATTCGCAGTGGCCAGAAAGTTACACCGGACCTAGGAAAAGTTTTACCCTCGAATGATCAATGGCCGATCACTATCTTCACGTTCAAGGCGGGTAGGTAAGCATGGCCCAATGCGTCGAAACTCATCCGCCCAATCCATCCCCTTTGTTACTCGCACCAACGGAGCCCCCCCGTGCCTGATTCAATTCCAACTTTTTGCTATATTCCCATCCCAAGAACCTTCTTTGCCTTTGCATCGCTTCCAGAAGACCAACGACAGCCCCTCTTCAGTCCACTCCTGCCATCCTCTCTGGGTTACAACCTGTGCGACGATTTGCATTGCTTACTTAGGTTGTCGGCCCGGAGTGGACCGCAGCGGGTCCCAGGTGGACCGTGGGGTCCTAGCTCTAGGACCTCATGCTGGTTTGAACTTCAGTCGTGCTAAAAGGAACCGACTCTCTCTGACTAGAACTATCCGGTCTGTGCACGTTCTGATAGGGGGAGCCCGGATTTCAACCCTGGTCAACCCCCATGTTAGCATGGCAGGCAAAATAAATTGAAATCGATCTGCCGCTTCTCATTCGTCCATATAATCTTCTAACGATATTTTCTCGTGACAAAGTACTATGCAGATCGCATTTACTCGCTGATGACTGGCTGCTGGCATGGGCGTCAACTATTGGTGAGCAGGCCCGAGTCACTTCCAAGCAGAGAAAAGGAAAAAGAAAAAATAATGTTGTTACATTGTAACCATGATTGAATAATCATTATTCAGCCGGATTGCGCTAAGCACTAGGAGAGCGAGGGAAATATACGGAGTCCTCAGATGTGAAGTCTATTATGCCATGGACGGAAACTCGGCGTCGGAATCATATTCTGACAGCCTCCCTAATACCAGTAAGGTAACAGAAACTACTTCCGAAAGTGGCAGTCTAGCTCAACCAGCTGCACCACTCAGGCCTCATCGCCTTTAGTCTCCTTGAAAGATCGACCGCTTTTTGCCGGTGTCAATTTTTTCATATTTCCTCTCTTTTCCGATATTTCCCCCCCTTCCCTTTTCTTACTTTTTTTTTTGTGAATTTCATTTTCCTTTCTCTCCCTTCTCCCCCCTCCTCCCTCCCAGGCTACTTACTAACTACTCACTATCTCCTGATGACCTGTTAGTACTTCTACATCTCTAGTGACCTTCCCCTCATCTCATGCGACCACCCCCCTTGTCTCCACCCTCTTCAGTCAGATCTGACATTCGGTCAACGCCACAAAACGACAAGGGCCGGTCAGTGCTGGGAATTGAAAAAATCCCACTTATCATCCCGGGAAGTATCTCCAGTAGGAAACCGTTGGGATTTCGCCGCTTGATCATGAGCGACATTCCAGTATATTTTCGAAGTTCTTTCTTTGTCCGCAAGCATGTCATGCGGGCATTTAGGTTCAGCGGTTTATCGATCCGTTCCCCGTTCCGTCAATTGAACCTTGGTTTGCCCTCGAGGGTTCCTCTCGATTGTCCATAACTTTGGTCCGAGGCCGATCCCATCATCTATTTGATGGTGCATGACCCACTCACATCTCTCTTCTTCCAACTTGCGGGATATATTGCTTTGAGAATGACTGTTCTACAGAACCAAAGGAAGATAAACGCGCCTCATTCATACAAATAAACTAAGTAGAGGCGAGACAAGCCAACAGTGGACAGAAAGAAAAAAAGAAAGCAGATAACAAGAAGATAGATAGGTCGAGAAATAATGTTCAAAGCAAACTATACTCATTAAGATTGTAAAAAAGAAGGACAGGCAACGTACAGAAAGAAAGAAGACATAGACAAGGAAAAGGAATGACAAAAAAGGTTATTTGTCTATTCTCGTAGTTGACCTATCCCTTTCATCCATCCACCGTTCAATTGCCCTTTTTGAATTATCAACGACATTATGCTTACCATGTTCTGCTGCTCCACTTGAAATCGGGTACGGTCTCTACCCAATGCCCTCTGAGTGATCTCGACTAACCAGGTATATACCACGCTAGGCTAACGGTCATTGGTGTACTTGACCTCCAGTGTAACATCAGGAAGAAAAGGAAAATCTCTGCGGTGGGAGGAGAAGACACACCTCCATCATAATGTCATCTTGTCAAGCTCAAGGAGCCTGCTGCTACTTACTTACTTTGCCTGATTGCTAGGAACGGACCATTCGCAACCACGATACGAGCCGTCATGCACCATACAGGATGCTGACCCGAAGTGGTACGAGGCCTTACCATGCGCCTTTAGCGGTATTTGGACCCAAAATCGGATCCCTGCTGGTCAATCTAGATCCCTGCCAATCAGCGGCAGTTCCCCCACCCATCACCTGGTTGGGGTTTAGCGTGCCTGCCTTTACTATTCGATTTCGCGGCCCAATCGTCGTGCAAGACCTGCGTCTTTTTATTTATTTATTATTATTATTTTTGATTTCTTATTTTCTAATTCATTTATTTTATTTTAGTTTTCTTTTCTTTTCTTTTCTTTTCTTTTCTTTTCTTTTCTTTTTTTTTTTATTTCCCCCCTACCCTTCCATTTTAATTTTTTAATTATCTCACAGCTCCAGGTTTCCTCGCTATCTGAAAATCTGGATGTATCGCATCGTCGGCGGCGGCCTCGTGTCTGGCTGTCCGTAATAATCTCCTTGGATAGATCTGATAGGTTAGGTATCAACGAACCGGGGATCCCCCTCGTCAATTCGGTCGGATCCAGCCCTTCGATGTATCTCAGTAACTTAGTAGTACTTAGTTTCCCGTAGGAGGTCCTATCTATCTGTATCGATTCTCATCGGCTGATGCAGAACAGGAAGCAGGTTACCTAGAGAGCATTCATGACCGACTAGTACTAGTAATTCCCAGTAAGGACATCTGTACGGAGGATACCGACTGATCTACCAGCTAAAACCTGAAGTAGTAGGAGTAAGTATACCACGAATACGCTTCAGGTACATTCCCCTTCCTTAGTATTCCGTACTGCACAAACCTACTACATCCATGCATTGGGGGTATTACTATATCTACTACTTGCTACTTACTTACTTTACCTTCCATACCTACTACAACCACTGCTGCTAGTATACTACTACTACTGCTTTCTCCGCCCAGTTTCGTCCGTGAACTGACGTACCTCCCGTACCTTACCTTTACCTCCATCTGCTAGTCGTTGTTTCCTTCTCCAATTGATTCTCTTCCTTCCCTGATCGTCCCTGTGCCGGTGGCCTGGCCTGTCCCTTTTTTAAACTCCAGGCTTTACCCACCCGCCGCACTTCCTCCCACCCCTCCCCATAATAAGACGACCCGCCTCTCCATTTTTCCGTCTTTTCCCCTTGTACAGCAAAAGACCGACTCCAAGCTTGCTGCAGGTGTCTGGTATGCGCTACTCTGGAAACCTTTCCGAATCACGAGTGTGAAGGAGATTTGCTCCCGAGGATCTTCGCTTTCCATTCGCTCCAGTTGATGCATGCGAGCGCCTCAGCTTCCGTAATCGCACCATCCTCCCTCGTCTATCATCCGTTCAAGCTCGAACATGCGTCTGCCTACCTTGTCTTGGCCTTAAGCTGTCCATCGTTACTGGGCACTACCTTTCATTGCTTATTCCACCTGTCTATCAATTCCCAATTCGCCCGATTTCGGTCTTTATAATCTTTATAGTGCGCCGATAGACTGTCCTCGGGCACTGACTTCGGTGCAACCATTACCACCACTCACGACAATTGTGATATCACTACCCCTCCTAGTCTCTCATCCTCCATATACAACCTCCACGCCTGGGGCTAGCTCGCCAGACATGGACACAGAGAGCAGCCATGCGCAGGAACATGATTTCGCGCAAACTTCCTGGCTTGATATAGGTGGATTCAGTCCCTCCGAGCAATCTCCAACGCTGGATTATCAAGCATTTGGATACGGAGTCGTACCACTAGACCCGTCCTATGGCGTCGATATCCCTCCACCTTATGAGACATTACCAATAGCCATGCCTCCACCCCCGAGTTCCTGGCCTAGTATGCTTTCGAATCAAGGGCCGTTCCCAGAACCGGGCATGCCAGCTGTACCCTTGATGCAGGCACCACCCACACTTGCCCCAGTGCCAACCATTCCAGCAATCCCTCGCAAGGCTTCCACTAGCAAGGCATCTACCGGCAAGTCGAGCACCGGCAAATCATCCACCGGCAAGTCGTCCAGTGGAAAGTCGAATAGCAACCCAACGCCACGCAGGACTCTCACGGATGAAGACCGTCGGCGGATGTGTCTTTATCACGAGGAGAATAAGACAGCCAAGCAAACAGACATTGGAGGTAAAGCGTTCTCTGATCCCACTGAGGGAAGATTCTTCAGACTAATCAGTGCGATTTGCAGCATTATTCGGTGTCGAGAGAAGGTATAGTTATTCTTCTTGAATCCCCATCTCCCCGGATACCCGTCTAACTGACATTGTTTTCTGTTCAAAGTACTGTTTCAAAGGTCCTGCGGCAGAAAGATAAGTATCTTAATCCGGACGATGGCAGTCGATCTCCTATCAAAAGGGCCAAAGGAAGAGTCCCAGATATCGAGAAGGCTTTGTCTAATTGGGCGCGGAACTATCAAAAACAGGGCTATCCGTTGAACGATGAGATGATACGTGAGAAGGCCCTTTTCTTTGCTAGTACTTGTGGCAGTTCAGATGGCAAGGAGAAGGTGCTCAGTACAAGTTGGTTGGAGAAATTTAAACGCAAGTATAACTTGATGGGTGCAAGGAATCGCAAGGGCTCCTGGACCAGCACAAAGAGCGAATCGGATAGCCCTACTTGTTTAAGCATTGATTCAGCACTGGCATCTGCCGTCCAGTCGCCCACGTTGCTCTCGCCTACATCCCCAACAGGCTTTCTATCACCATTGCCATTATCGCCCGTCCAGAGCAATGAGAACATCAGGGGCGAGCTTGTTCAGAGTCTCGCAGAAATTGCCAGTGACTATCAACACACGCATACCAAGAGTACAACATCGCTGGACACAACATGCTCTTTCTCTGCTGGGCTCACCAGCCCGACATCCACTTTCGTGACGGAAAGTCCATTCACTCCTACTAGCCAGTCTCTTGGTTCATCCGCGGACGGCAATTCCACCAGACCACGCAGCCAAACATTTCCGCTCAGTTCGTCTGACCCGAGTCTTAGGCCACTACGAAAACTCCGAGCATTTGACAAAAGCCGCGCTACGACAGGCACTCTCAGTCTCAGAACATCAATCTTCCCCTGACGACCATCACGATCAGAAAATTCTCCCAGCGCTTGACACGTCGGCGAATACAATCAAACGCAATCGCAGCAACCCGGAGTTTAAAGCCAAGTCCATATACCCACCGTTGTTCTCAAAGTCGAACACTGTGTCTCCAGTTAGCTCCCCGGGTTCGCCAACCCAGGATGAAGCTAGGAGAGCACTAGAACTTGTGATGAACTACTTTAAACAGCAGCCTTCAGGACTTGGGGCAGACGATTATATGACAATTGGGAAGCTGATGGAAAGGCTTGAGCTCGCCAAGGCACAGCAAGTGACACTCCCAGGGGGCCTCACTCGAATCGACGAACACGATGATTCGCCACAACTGAACAGGAAGAGAAGTATCCACAGTCTTGGCTAGACGGTCTTTGCTTGCCAGCTGATCTCCCGAACCATGGCATCATATACGGGTACTGAGTACTTGTGATCGCTAACTTTGGCATATTATTCTAATTATTTCCTTTGGTGTTTCTCTGATGTTCTTTTCTTTTATACCACATAGGACTATTTTAACCGGGCGGTATTCTGCTTTAACATTGCATTTTCATGCCAGATCGAACAATCTTCTGTCAGTCAGCGGCTCTGCAATATTGTCGAAGCCTTGAGAAAAATTTCTTTTGTTGTTGATACACCGCGCGAGGGCAACCTCAAATATCCGGTCTGGAGGGAAGGAAACCCAGGTACTTGATCCTGTTCGAAGGATCTTATGGTGTTGAGAGGAGTGTCACATTGGAATACGGTCTTGGGATGTTTGTTCAATGCTTCTTCCACTATTTGGCTCACATACTTTTGTCTCGAGACGAGCATATTATCCAGAACTTACCCGCTCGCGCGGATTTACCTGCATCTGCATTTGTGTCTCTGTTCTGTGCCTGTCTTTGCTTACTTTCCTCTGTTCATTGAACATCGTTGGAACTCTTTGTGCATTAACCTGATGTGCGTTGATAGGGCTGCCAGCCGGGTTAAACTCAACTGGCAAACAACCTGGAAGGCCCGTGATCATACGGTTTTCAGACTAATTGTGGCTTTTTCTTTTCCCCTCTTTACTTCCCTTTTTTCCTATTTGTCCTCGCTATAGTGATTATCTTTTTTTTTTTCACACCGCATTCTGCGCTATTCCCACCAACTAATACCTTGTTTGATCCTCCCCCCGGTCCTTTATGCGCTGTCTCTGGGGAGATGGGCTGGCCTGATTCGACAGATAAGGTACCCATTTATAAGGGACCCTGTCAGGTCCTGCCTTCGGCCTGCCAGCAACCGGGATTTCCTTTCCCCCCGCTAGCACGCCTGGATCGGGAGGCCTTGTCATTCGTTGACTCTTCTGCAGGTTTGCCTCGTTTCTTTTTTGACGTTCGGTCCAGGCAGGATGGCATTTTTGTACCATCCCGGTACTTGACCTGCTTGCCTGTCCATGCCGGCATGTGTTTGTAACCATTACATATCATACTACTATTATCTACTATGCTGTCTCTTTTTGGTGATCTCTCATCATGTCCAATGGTGTATTGTTACTACTACGTGACGCCTGTGGATTCATGCCATTGGTGGGTGGGGTCGAGAAAAAAAAAGACCTTTTGCAACGCCTGTATTCTGGGGCATGCACGAGGATTGAGCTAAGGGAACTGTTTACTTCGACTTAGTTTGGGCCCACCCTTTTTCTTGTGGCACGCCCTAGTTGACACCATGAGCCACCACCCCATGGGCACGTGGTATTAAGAGGGTTACATACCGCTCAACTGAGTGGCTTTAGCACTACTTGCCTACGGCATTGCGACAAAAATGGTTCTTATGCGATATTGGTATCATTAACATTATTATCCTAGGGGAATATCTCGATGTAGCGAACACCACTACTCCGCGTACACTGTACACCGTCTATGAGCCCGCATGGGTAGGTGGAGTCAAATTCGAGGCCAGGGGTACCCCCCTGTCCTCCATTAGCTCGGCGATGCTGCGCTCAGACAACTCCGGAAGGAGCTTTGTGAGAATGGCTTCTATGATGGAATATATTAAATGCTTATTGCAATAATCATCGGCAAAGAGGTCGAGAATCTCCTCAATGGCAGCGAGTAGGAGTGACTCTTCGTGGCCGCAATCTGCGGGTGAGACAGTCGATGACGCCTGAGGAGAGTCGAGCCAGGGCGATTCAGATTCATCGGAGCTATTCAGTCGCCCTCGGTGTCGGGACGGCGGGTTGTGCTCGATAGGAGCAGACGGGACACCAAAGAAACGACGTGCGATTGGGCGAGGAAGCCGGGAGAGAATGCTGGTCGCACAGCGTCGCTTGATAGAAGCGACGTCGGGCGTGGAAGGCTGCGGATCCGGCGATAAGGGCGCTGTCGCGGAGACACCAGACGAGGAAACACTACTGCAAGCGTCACTTGCGCCAGCGGCGTCGTTAACAGACCCTTTCACCATAGGAGATGCTGGAGGCTGCACGGACAGCTGCGGCGCCGAAGCCGCGGCGCGACCATCTACCGCTGTGGACGCTGGCCGGGCGTTCAAAGGAAAGAGCGCGGCCCTAGTCGCCAGAAGCAGGTTTGGGAAAAGAGCGGGGGTCAGGACATGATCGCGGATGGTCTCGTGAAGGAACCTAGTGGAGATGAAAAAAAACGTAAGAAGAAAAAAAAAAAAAAAAAAAAAAAAAAAAGAACAATGAAAATGGAGTGGAAAAACGATAATTAGGTTCGAGGTAAGGCAGTCATCCCGAAGGGGAAAGAAACACAAGGAGTCAATAGTCAAATCACACGGGGAGGTCCGCAATAGCCCCGAGGTAACAGTTGACATTTGACAGAATCTCAGACTGTGGAGAAGCGGTTTGCCCCATCGGGATAGTAATGACGGCCACACTCCGATAAAGTGAGCAAGACCAGTAGCACTAGAAGAGGGATCTGCTTGGCTAGGGGGGCAGTACAGGAGCTTGGACCAGCCATTGGTGCGAATGGAGATGCTGCCAGTGGTGAAGATGACGACAAGGTCGCGGACTGAGAGCACAAGCGCCTCGGATTTGTTCATCCATCCAGCGACGGAGCAAAGAAAGATGACGATTCAGGCGTTGTTCGGGGGAAACCCAACCTGGGCCCCCTCCGGCGTGTCTGAACGCACATAGGGGCCCGGCGAGTCATAGTCGGGATTCCATCTCAGAAGACAGAAATGGGGGCGAACTAGGTGATTGATTGGCTCGAAAATGGAGAACAGGACGAATTTCGCCCTATCCATGCAAATCCCCAAGTCGTAAAACCGTTCCGCTCAACCAATAGGTGCCTGATCGTCATGATTCATTTTGAATGCCCATTAGCGTCGGTCCGTGGGCCAGGACCTCGACTACGCCCATTTCCAGGGGCAGGGATGGGCAATCTTCGCTCGATTTGACTTCGAAGGAAGTAGCCAACTAGCTGGTAGTGCACAATTTGCTTTTTCCTTTGCGGTTTCCCCTCTAAATCTTGTGCGATCGATGCCGCGATCATTGTTTTGACTGCCCCTCCGACCAGGTTGTGCACGACACAAAAAAGAGAGCTGGAGCTGGACGGGACGGAAGGGTCGGGCCAGCCCACGGCCCAAATTGACAGACCCATTGACAGACGGCAGCGGACTTGCAGACCAGACCAGAAAGTAAGTAGTAGTTCGGTATGTCCGAAGACACCCCAGTCCCGGATGGCATGACCAGAGGATGTCAAAGCTCCTTCTTTCTCCCCTCGGGGGGTGTGGGCACAGCCAGCCAGCCAGCCCGCCCGCCCGCCCAAAATGCTAGCCAGCAAGCAATTTAATCAACTGGAAATTGATGTCTGCAGAACTGGCAAGCCAGACGAGAGGCCAGTGTCACGTAACGGACGGTACACGTCTGGTAATAAAACAATACGCGCCGGTCAGAGTTGGTAATGACAGGACGGCCAGGGGCTAGACGAATGAGAGTCGAGAAGACGAGCGCGGGCGGGGGCAGCCATCCACCAGGCGATCAAGTGATCGTTGCAGCATGCGCGCAATGCGCATCCCACCTGCATGCTCCTGCTGGCCCGCCGTCTTTACTCCAATGGCTTGCTTCTCAACCACCGCACCAGCAGTCTCTCTGACCGTCACTCTCGCAAACACATGTGTAGATCATGGTTCGGAGATCCAACCGTACCGCTTCTCCACAGTAGGGACACCACATGCCCCTTAGGGTCGCGCCGTCTGGCGCTTCGAAACACCCATCTGAATCCAACGGCCATCGGTGGCCTGTAGGAGATTGCTTGCGAGTGATGATGGAGGGGGGGAGGGTTTGAGAAATTTCAAATCGGGATGTGCGACTCACCTATCAAGAACACTATCCGTATCACCCAATCTACCTGGACCGGCCAGGATCAGATACTGGATCAGTGCGAGCATTCCACACAGCCAAGGCATCCGCTGCGGCACATCCATCACTTGCGAGACCATGCCATACAACCGGTAGTCCAGCACCGGGCGCTTCTTGGAGGTTGCGCACGAGGGGGTTCCGTCCGCGTTGCTGGTTGGAGGGCATGGTGTCAGGGACGCAGTAACCGGAGGTGCGGATGCAACGCGAAACAGGCCGATCACAATGAAACGTAAAGTCACGTAGATCATGTAGGCATATTGTAGCGCTTGCCAGATCCAGTCGGGAACTGGCACTTGGACGTGGGACGACGAATGACCTTCCGTGAACGCTTCTTGAGAGAGGAGACCGTACTTGTGAAGTCGGGATCGTTGACCCAGGGTTGCAGTCGCTACATCCTCCTCCTGTTCGTTGCGCCCTACCCTGTCGACCACCTTCGTGATACTGTCCCACAAGAACCATCCTTCGCTGATTTTCCCGGCCACTGCATTGCCCAGCACAAGATCTGCCAGGATGTCACCGAGCAGAGTTCGCAGAGAAGCATTTTCCAGGTCCTCCGTGGGGAGTAGCACCGCTAACATGCCGTGGACCAATAGTTGTCGATAAATTGATTCGTTTTCTCTTTGCTGCGCAACAGCTTGAGCATCTGATGGGTCGGGGATCGGTGAGAGGCCTGGATGCGGATTTAGAGCATGATAAATCTCGCGGAGCGGAGGAGATATCGAAGATTGTGCTGATTGCTGCTTTGCTAGTCTATATGCTATGGACGACCGAGGGCGCGGTCAGCTCATGCACTCATGCAACCCTTAGTGGACGTTGGACAGGACGCAAGGTCTTACATGTAACGTGCCTCTCAACGAGAGCAGGAATCTCATCAAGAAACAGCTGCGCAACATCGATTTCGCGCAACCTCTGCTCAAGAGCGCGGGTGCAGTGCGCAATGACCTGAAGGAGTTCGCTCACGAGCACCTGATCCGAAGTGATCTTTGAGTACCAGGTGAACACAAACTCTTTGACGATGATGGCAATAAGCGCATAAAGCTGACGATCTACCTCATTTGAGCTCGTCAGGGGAGGCAGCAGATCTTCCGGAGGTTGAGGAGTAGTGGCACCCCCATGGTTACCAGCTTGGGGACATAGGATGCGTCGAATTAGAGCAATCGTCGCCTTGTCGCTCGTCGCATTAACCGGATCCTCTCGACTAGCATATTTGACTGGTTGCGGGCGCGTCGGAGCTTGGGCAAAAGACTGCAGAGTCGGAGATGAGGGCACAGCAGTCGACTTCGAGCTGGAGGTGGTTGGACCAGCTTTGAGATGCGACAGCGGATGGAGGCCCGGGCGGAGAGGGTCGCTGGTCATCTCATCGCAGGAAAGCAGGCAGAACGGGAGCGAAAAGAGTAGACCGATATGATAACGAGTATGTACAGGACAGAGACAAGAACCAAGTCGTCGGAGAGAAAGGCGCTCCGGATGAGAATGCCATCAGGTAGGAGAAGCAAGAGCAGCAGGCCGCGGCAACTGCGACGGACTTGGAGGGATGACGCTCTGTCCCTTCCGTATCAGGAAGGTAGGGCTTAGGGCTGATATAGCCCCGTGTCCGCTGATAAGGCTTATCGGCACGGGGTTTTCTTATCTGCAGCAATCCCCGCAATCGCCTTTTCGCTGGCATCTCGGCCTCCCCTCCTTTTTTTCTTTTATTCCCTCTAGATCAGGCTTTACAATGGATTCTTCAGTGGATACGCCAATTCCCTTGTGGCTGGACTGTGATCCGGGTAGGTACTCCTTCTTCATCCAAGTATAACCACGCTAACAGGTCCTCAGGCCACGATGTGAGTATGACTTATGACTCAGGAGAAAATCAACACATGGTATACAAGGTTAACCACTGAAGAGCTTTGGCATTTATATAGGACGCCTTCGCCATTCTTCTTGCTGCACACCACCCCTCGCTGAAGCTTCTCGGTATCACTACCATCCACGGCAATGCTTCACTGGAGAACACCACCATCAATGCCACTCGCGTCTTAGAGGCCATCGGCCGGCCAGAGATCCCTGTGTACCCCGGAAGCAAGAAGCCATTCTGCAGACCCGCCCTTCATGCGCCCAACATTCACGGTAAGCATTGCGCAGAATTGTGTTTTCCTCAAAGCAGGAACCCTTGAGAATAACTTTTGCGGAATGTAGGTGACTCTGGTCTGGACGGTACCGACCTTCTGCCCAAGGCTTCGACGGCCCCAATCACAGACAAAAACCCCATTCTGGCCATGCGGGATGCCCTCATGGCGCATCCCAAGGGCACACCATGGGTTGTTGCAACCGGCACCCTGACCAACGTTGCCCTCTTGTTCGCGACTTTCCCGGAGGTTGCGGAGCACATTGCCGGTCTGACCATCATGGGTGGCGGTGTTGGTGAAGGATTCACCGATGCTCCCATGAGCAGACTCAAGGGACAAGAAAACAGAATTGGCAACGTAACGCCTCTTGCTGAGTTTAACATCTACGTATGTCCCCTATACTACTACCCCACAAGGCAACCCTCTCTCAAGCCACCGACCTCCTGTATCTACCATCACTAACGCCATATAAAATTAGTGTGACCCCGAAGCTTCCCAAGCTATCTTCAGCGACCCAGTCGTCGCATCCAAGACCACCCTGATCACTCTCGACCTCACCCACCAAGTCCTTGCCGACCAGAGCGTCCGGAACCTCGTCCGCCACGGCGTGGACGATGCCTCCGTCCAGCCCACCACCCTGCGTCAGATGCTGTACGAGCTCTTGATCTTCTTCGCTAACACTTACGAAACCGTCTTCGGTCTTTCCACTGGTCCTCCCCTGCATGATCCCCTTGCTGTGGCGGTCATTCTGTCGACCCTAAACCCTGGCTACGCGAAGAACCACCCCGACCAGGTCCTGAAGTTCGACGACCGCGGCGGAGAGCGCTTCTCCGTCAATGTCATCACGGACGGACTTCATGGCACTGATATTGCGCTGGTGGGCTCGCTGGGTCGGTCTGTGGTTGAGGCGAACCCCAATGCGGTTTGCATTCCTCGTGGTGTGGATCTGGATGCGTTCTGGAATATGATCAACGACTGCATTAAGCGGGCGGATGAGTGCAATGCGGCAAGGAAGGCCTAATTATGAGTTTGCAGCATGTGTTATGCGGGACTTTTCTTCTAATGGCGATACTGATATTAGAACATTGAGAAATATATCTCGATGAAGAGTACATAGATTTATTAGATAGAGGAAGCACTGCATAGCCCGTTTCATCATGTTGTTGTATATGTCAATACCGTCCATTCACGCTATGCTAGATACGCTAAAGGATTTTGAGCAAACTACCACTCCCGGATCCCTCCATCAGGTCCAAAGAATTCCTTAGGCGGCCAAGGTTCAGAATTGACCGCCAACTGCCTGACCAGCTCTTCGTTCACTTCAATCCCCAATCCCGGTGCCGTCAAAGCATCCACGTATCCATCCTTAACGGCGAACACACTGGGATCCTTGACATAGCTAGTAATATCATATTCGCCCGCTTCCGTATTATAGTGCATCCCCAGGCTCATCTCTTGAATGACGAAGTTAGGGGTCGCCAAGTCCACTTGCATACATGCCGCCAAAGCAATGGACCCCAGGGGGCAATGCGGGGCAATCGCAACATCGTACGTTTCCGCCATGGACGCTATACGTCGTAGCTCGGAGATGCCTCCGCAGTGAGCGATATCAGGTTGAAGAATGTCGACGCTCGCGTCTTCCAGGAAGCGTTTAACGTCCCAGCGGCTGTAGAGACGCTCGCCAAGGGCAATAGGGCAAGAAACTTGATCTGATAGCTGCTTGATCGCTTCGGGGTGTTCAGAGAGGAGCGGCTCCTCCAGGAAAAGAGGGCGGTGCGGCTCCAGGGCTTTGGCGAGCTGTTTGGCCATTGGTTTGTGAAGGCGGCCGTGGAAGTCGAGGGCTGCGTCTAAGCCGAGAGCTTTGACGGTTTTCAGTCGTTCAACGGAGGAGTCCAACGCACGGGGGGAATCGAGCCAGTTGATGTCCTCAGTGGCATTCATCTTAATGGCTTTGAAGCCCTGCGCGAGACGAGCTTTCCCGGCCGCTTCGACATCGGAGGGCCGGTCTCCTCCAATCCATGCATAGACGGACAGTTTGTTCCGGACTTTGCCTCCGAGGAGCTGGTAGATGGGGACACCAAGTCGACGGCCCTTCAGATCCCAGAGTGCGATGTCAATTCCTGAAATGGCGGACATGAAGACCGGGCCCCCGCGGTAGAAGCCCAGACGCCAGGCCATTTGCCATATGTGCTCAATGTCACTGGTCACTCGAGGTTAGCTGCATGGCTTGCCCAACAGGGTTGGTGGATATGTACTCTGCTTCGTAGCCTTGAAATCTCTTGCATAGTGCATTCAATGTGCCTTCGACGGCCTCGGTATGGCCTTCTAAAGTACTTTCGCCCCAACCGCATTGGCCATCTTCGTCGACGATCTTAACGAAGAGCCAGCGGGGAGGGACGCGGAAGTACTCGATAGACTTGATCTTGACCATGATGCTGGCGAGGGTCTATGTTTGCTGGTTGATGATGGATCAATCGCCTGGTGGACTGGCAGGTACATTACGTAGAAGACACAATGACAATAAGTACTATTTATGATCGTGAAGAGGAATCGGAGTTGCTCCGTCTACCAGGCCGAATTACCGACAACTTGGCTCCATCACGGAGGATATGGATAGATGGGTCTCGCAATGGTGCAACTTGGCGACACGGCATCCGATCGACCAAGGCCAGACCATGCAGAATGCCCAGGAATGAGAAGAGATTGGCTTTGGCTTGAAACGCACCGTTAAAGCCATAGTGGACTCGGCTTATAGACGGACGCTGTCATCCTGCATTAGTCCACATGATTTCGGGGCGTGAAGTACTCATGAGTGGAGTCGAATGAGAATCCCTTGCATGTTTTGCGAAGATGGATGATATGACCGTGCAGGACTTTTCTCAGTTGGAGATAAAGTGAGTAGCCTCCGTGAGGGTTGTAATAATCTAGATGCTTTAGTGGAGTATCACTATGGGGCACATCCGGGGATCTGTCCAGGCACAGGTCCCAGCTTCAGGGGATTGAAGGGATGAATCCCGTTGTATACGAGGAATGGCGATGATTTCAGGGACAAAAATGTAGACACGAAGCAAGTCAGCAAGTATAATGAAGGCATGAAGTTGGCAGAAACATTGTGAGAAAGCAAAGCCAAAGAAGTAGCAAAACGAGAAGTCGGCGAGGGGTGCCCGATTAGGCAATCCAGTGACCGGCGGCTTTTGGATTTGCTTTGGAATCGAACTTCCTGCAAGTCAAAACCTCACTTGTTCCTCACTTTCTGCTGCTTCGGCATCGCCGCTCGTCTCTTGCACCCTTCCAACGGTCGGGAATTTATGTTTCACTCGCCCCCGCTCTCTGTCTTGAGCTGCTATTTATCGGGGATTTTCTTTCTCCTTGGACCGACTCCTGGTGGATGCGCTCTTGTATTGCCCATCTTCCTCCCTGGCGGACTGCCTCTCCGCCGCCACTCGATCTACACCCATTTCTTTCACTCAGATCATGCCCCCCGTCAACTCGCCATCTGTAAGTTTTCACTACTTGCTTTGGCCCTCCGTGCATGGTGATTGTTCCTGCGTATCCCATACCTCGGGACGGTCGCCACTTTGACTTTGCGCACGACCGTGGGATTGAAGTACCAAGCCGATGTTGTGACGTTGCCTTGCCTTCTCAGTTGATGCTATCGACAGATGAGCTTCCACTCTAACTTTCTCTCCTTCATCACAGGATCCCCCCGCTCTGTCGTCTTCCGCTTCTTCTTTTCGGCCTTTGACCGCGCTCTCCTTGCCTGTTCCTTCGCTCCCCGCAGCCGTGTCCGATGACGCTCATGATGATAACGTGAGCTTTCTCCGATCTCGTGTGCGCTCCCCACCAGACTCGACCTCTTCACTCAGTCGCCAGCGCCGACGTCGACAACAGACCGCGTCCGACCTTGATCTAGAGCCTATGGAGCTGGACGACCCGTCTCACTTGCGCATCGAAATCAACCGCCGCATCCCTATCGTGCGCCGTCAACGCGACACTTCCGGCAACCCCAACCCGACTAATCTCCCCAACTACGAAGGTCAGATGTCGAATTCACGCTCGGTGTACGGCTGGGCTCCGGCCTCTGATGATGACGACGATGATGTAGGCTACGAGCCGCTTCACGAAAGTAACACGATCTCATGGTTCGGCCGATTCTCCGATCGCTACGCAGCTGCTCGTCGCCACGCGCGCCGGGATGCCGCTGGTCGAAGTCCTCCAGCTTTGCCAGACGAACCTTCCGATAGCAGTCTCAATCGCCAAAGCGATCCAGCCCTTTCGACAACAGAGGCTTTCCTACAGTCAGTGCGACGCCAACAGCGGGGTTCGCGGACGCGCGCGCGGGCGCTTCACGAATATTTGTTAGAGCGGGAACGAGCTTCCCAGGATTCAGATGAAAGTCGAGAGCGACCAGGTCCTCCATCAGCCTCACGAGCATATCGCTTCCTTCCCAGTGCCCGGGGCGAGTCGCAACGATTTCTGACTCACAATGACCTACGCGCTCGGATAAGCGCTCATCGACAGTTACACATGGACAACCCTCCAAACCCACGGCTGAAGGAGACCATCCTATATCTGGATCGCCTGCGGTACTCTACCTCGTTTGAGGAAAGCCTCACCTCAGCGGCGGCAGGGGGTTTTGTTCATACTGATTTCCTTAACGGGAACGAGGATGACTTTATCCTCGACATCAGTTCGATAGCGCCGCCGCCAGACAGTTCATGGCTTCGTCCCGGTATGGTTTTCTCGGGGTCGCAGCGGGCTGCCAGCAGTGCGAGCTCGCTTTTTGCACAACGAGGGCTCAACCCGTCCGCATCCCAGGACCCGATGATTGTCAATGGGAGTGACAACAGTCGCATCAGTGTATATACCACAACAGGACGACGGTACCTGGCTAATAATATATACCACCTCGGAGGCGGTAAGGACGAGAACTGGCCGGTAAAGGTCACCATACATAGTATCAACCCGGACGATATGACGCTGTCGGGTACCATGGAAGCATACAACATACCGGACAAAACGACCCCGGCGCATGATGCACATATCGTCACATATCTAGAGGGGGAAATTATTGATTTTAACAAACACACGCTCGAAACGAAGAACTTCAAGGCAGATGCGGAGATTGACAGTACATATTGGCGGGAGCTGCAGCCATTCAAGAACTTGAGCGATGAGGAAATGACGCGGAAACTCGTTAGTCGGAAGTGGGTAACGGAGCAGTTATCCAAGCAGTGGATACTGATGAGATGGAAGGGTGAGTTTCGATTAAGAGAGAGTCTTCAAAATAAAACTAATATAAGAGCCTTAGAACGCTGTTTCATCACACCCACCGACTCCCGACAAGGACTGACAATTTCGGGATTCTACTATATCTCACTGAACCGGCAAAGTGGCAATATTGAAGGGTTATATTACGATCCGGGCAGCTCGCCATACCAGCAGCTGTCATTGAAGCCAGAGTCGAAGAAAATGGTGCGTCCCTCATACGGGTTCCGCTAACCTTCGAAAAACAGCCTACGGCACAGCTGTCTGTTACATTCGTGTCATATGTAAACTGCTAATCTTGGGCTTTGCTTTATCATGGCGTTGGATGGGACAATGTTTGCATAGCCGGGTGTTCTTATACCAGTATCAGCATTCATTGTCAAATTGTGCAAATATTACCCAATTACATTACATCAGTCTACACATTGTGGATCTACGCGCTCCTACCACCAACCCCCTAAGGGAAAGAAGAAACATTAGAGTACCATGATCCGTCAATTGTTTGATCCACGTCATCATAAAAGAGACACCCAAATCGTAGCTAGATACAACAGGTGGGCAACATGCAGGTAGCAAGAGACACGCGCAGCAGTAGCAGCACGCACACTCAAGAGAGATCCGTAGCCCGTAAAACCGAATTCACAAACCCCGTCCCTCCAGAAAGATATCGCTCACCACCGACCACATACAAACCCCCGCGGACCCCACCACCGACCGAATCACACCACCCAGGGGGTAAAAAAAAAAAAGGTGAAACCCCTACTACAACTCAGACTTCATGGGAAAACGAGCAATTTACTGCTCAGTCTGGAAGTAGTTAAGGAGGACAGAGCGCTCCTGGGACTCCTCACCCCAGTCCTTAACGACGACGCAAGAGCAGTTGACGACCTTGCGGGCGTTACCCTCACGGTCGAGCTGGCCTATACCACAAACCCCAATTAGCAAAACACATCACCCACACGGTCAAATCTTCAAAGGAACCAAAGGGTACTTACAAAGACCAACCCACTCGCCAAGCATCTTTCCATCGGGGACCTTGATGAGGGGGATCTTGTGCTCGGAGCAAAGAGCCACAACAAGCTTCTTGTAGGCCTCCTCCTCGCAGCCCTCGTTCAGGACACACATGTGAGCCTGACGACGGTCCAGGGCCTTAGCGGCCTCGCGCAGACCACGGGCAAGTCCGTCGTGGATGAGAGAGATACGGAGAACTCCCTTCAGGGCATCCAGGACGGACATCTGGCCACCGGCGCCAGCGTCGGCCGAAACCTCGACCTCATCGGCGGCGACAACGGGGTTGGATTGGGTCTCTTCTCCGTCCGACTGTATTCATTTAATATCCATTGTTAGTATATTGTTGGTGGTGGTGGTGGTGTTGTTGTGTATATTGAGGGGGGAGGAAGGAAAGGGGGTGGGCGCACCATTTTGAAAGTTGTGTTGTATGACGAGATGTCGGATTATCCTCAAAGAGTCGAGGTGTTTGTTCTTGTATAGACTAGTAGGTGGTGGTGCTGGGCGAGTGGTGCGCGCAATTTTGGGCTACTTTCTCGCTAAATGTGTGCCCTACGCATTAGTCATGGTCACGTGGGATGCGATGAGGTTAAAGTTGTATGTCACGTGATATGCATGTTTACTGCGGTGCTACTACTCAGCGACCTTTTTTTGCCATATACTACGAGTATCGCTACGAATATCACTACAGTATCAGACTGGTTTATCCAACATCTCACATCAGGTATCATAGTCATACATCAAAGATTTCACCTGTACAGGCTAGCGTCAAGCTAAAAGAACGCTGAAGCACAAACAATTAGACGTATGTACTAGGCCGGCTGTGTCCATAGCCGTTAGTCAACCCATTTCCTCCCAAAAGTCCGGGCGCCTCCTCAATCGGCGTCCCAGATATATGTCCATTAGCCTGCGGCAGCTCAAGCACTGGCTGCGGCTTAGGTTCCTGATCAATATGCATCTTCAGAAACTGTATGTCCAACCCATGAAGGTGCGGTATGTGGGGAACGAGATCCATAAAATCAGACAGCTAGATACGTCAGCGGGTGCTCAAGCAATTGGTTTGTCAGGCTCAACATACCTTAACCCAAAATACATGTTCCATCTCGAAGTATTTGGGTCGTGCTTCGCAGTCTTTCTGCATGATCTGTTCGAAGGACGAGCTAAGAAACTCAGTCTCTTCCGCTTGAACCAGCATCCTTCGTGTGACACGCCACAAGTTCATGCGCTGCGTAGGTGTCGCATTGCGCTTCTCCCATGTCGCGTATTGAGATAGCTGAAGATCATTCGTCGCCAGTAATGGTGCGACGAGGTAATTCGGAACCCATCTTTCCTCAGCCACCGCCGGTCCGCAGGACGGATCAAGCTGCTTCGTCTCAGCTGTCACCACTGGCATGAATTTCTTGAGCCATGCATGACTCTTCGCCAGTGGATCATTCGAGCCCACGAGGTTTGCTGCAGCTCTGAGTCGACTGGGGAGGGCGTCTCGCCGGCGTTGTTCCTGCTCTTCCTGCTCCCTGCGCAGTTTAGCAAGGCGCTGCCTTTCCTGTTCGAGGCGCCTCTGGCGCTCGTCCTCGGCTTGCTTAATCCGCCGTTGCTCCGCCTCGTTCCGCTTGCGCTCTTCCTCTGCAGCCTTCTCCTGAGCAATACGAGCCTCCCGCGCCACCCGTTCTTCCTCTTCTACTCGAGCCTTCTCCGCCTCTGCCGCTAAGCGTTCTTCCTCTGCCTGTCGCTCTGCAGCTTTTCGGGCTTCTTGCTGCCGACGCGCTTCGGCTTCAGCTTCGGCTTGGGCTTGGGCTTGGGCTTGAGCTTGGGCTTCGGCTTCAGCCTTGGCTTTGGCCTCAGCCTTAGCCTTAACTTCAGCCTTAGCTTTGGCTTCGGCTTTGGCTTTAGCTTCAGCCTCCGCGGTGCTTGTTGATTCCTCCATGGGAATATCTTCTAACCCTTGAGTCTCAAGTTTCTCCTGCTCCTCCTTCACAAGGTTCTTCTCTGCTGCCCTAGACGGGATGTCGGGCTCCCTCGATCGTTCCCGTTTAGGCTCTGTGGCCTGAGTATCATCCTTGTGACGGGCAGAAGTCTTGAGATCTTCCGAGGTTGGATGGCTCTTCTTTACACTTCCGTTGGTAATGTTAGGTGTGCCGTCCTCCGACAACACACGTCGTTTTTTCTTTTGGATATCGCGCGAGTGCCGTTCGGCATCGGTATCACGAGATCGAGGTCTATCGGGACTAACACTGCTGCGTCCGCGTTTCAAATGCGGCGGTCCAGGTCTGGAAGTGGCGGGTTCGGAAGGATCGGGGCGCGTCTTGGTATTCTCGTCTCTCCCCGACATGGACTCGGATGGAGGTACACTAGGAACTCTCCTATCACGATCTGGGGGCCGTCCAGCAATTAGTCGTCTCCTCTTGGGCGCCTCATCGCCACGAGTAGATTCACCGTCCCTCGCAGAAGATCCCTTGAACCGAGCCGGCTCCGAACGCGACGCGTCCTGGTCACCGGCTCCAACATGGGCAACCTTCGGGCGAGATAGGCTGGATTTTTCCTTTCCATGAGCCATAGCTTCCCTCCTGCGCTCCTTCGAAATTGTATCCTTGGACGAATCCCGGCGGCCAGGGCTCGCCATTGCTTTCCTAGGCCGACCTCCCGGAGACGGTGATTCTCTGCGACCGGTTCGCTTGCCTTCCTTCTCCCTATCACGCACTCGCCGTGGTGATGAAAATTCGGCTTTGCGCTGCTTCTTCGTCCGGATATAGTCGTCGTATGCATCACGCAGAAGATCATATTCTTCCTCCCAGTTATCAGCCCTGCGCTCCCGAGACAATTCGAAGTAGGTACGGTCCTTGTGCAGACGACGAGTCGGATTGAAACTTGGTTGAGCAAGGAGCAGTTTGATGACGGGAAGGTTGCCTCGGCCAATCGCTGCCAACATAGGGGTGTTGTATCCCGGCTTTTGAGAGGCGCCCGATACGGGATCAGGATCAGGATCCGCATCGCCCATGCCAAGTAATAGGGATAGCACTTCATCGTGACCACCCTTGGCTGCGGCGATCATGGACTCAGGATCCGCTCTTTGCCCGACATTGAGAATGTTGGCAACTCCAGCGATATCGCCCTTGGCAGCGAATGCTTGTAGATTCTCTGGTGTAGCCTTGGTCCACAGGAGGTCATTCCGAGTAGCCTCGCTCCTGACACTTTTCCGCTTGCTCGTGATACCAGCATAAGGCGGACTTCGCTGTCCACTGACCGGTGGCGATTCACGTGGACTATTAATCGCAACCCGACGGGAAGATGTTTCCCTATTCCCAGAACCAGTTTGCTCTTCTGAGCGACGACTCGGGCGTGGGTTCGCCTTTGCTTCCTCGATAACACGCCGAATCTCGTCGTAGTCCTCCGAGTCTGAGGGGATCAAATCACTGGGCTCATCGCCTTCAGCATTGACTGCGCGGGGATTTGCACCGGCCTGAAGCAAGAGCTTGACGACATCAAGATGCCCGTTTTCGACAGCATCTATCAACGGCGTATCCCTGTCGATATTCCTGGTCTCTACCTCACAGCCAGCGTCCAGCAAAAACTTAACAATGGACGCACATCCTTCCAGAGCGGCAATTTGTAGTGGCGTATTGCCCGCATTGTCGGCCACATTGAGATCCTCTGGTCGTTCGGCATGTCGAGCCATGGCTACTTCCAACTCCTGGGCGGCACAGGCACGTGCAAGTCGCGTCCGGCCATTTTGGTCGCGCTGTTTCTTGTGCCCCATAGGCCTTGCGGGAGACGCCGACGCACCATCCACAGATGCAACCTTCCGTACATAGGCACTGGGCAATGGAGACCCGCTAGTAGATGAGGAGACGGACTGTCTGTCTTCGGAACTCTGCCTTGGCACCCCAGAGATGAGCGGGGTAGGTGCCTTCCTCTTCCGTTGCAGATCGCTGCTGAGCTGAGGGCCGGATGCTGTCCGCTTGTGAGAACGAACTGGTGAGACGGATCGATCGTTCGGTGTCGGGCGAGGTAGAGAAATCCCGTTCAAATCTCGTCGCTCCCGGTCGCGGGGGGCTGCCGAGTGATGTTGACGTGCATTTCGACGAGCATCCGCCTCCCCGTCGACACTCTCGCTGAAGCTGCGCTTCCTTGATGTTCTGGGTGCGGATGTGATCGGATGGGACGATTCGACTCGACTAGGGACCGTCTGGGGTTCCTCAGTCTTCTCTATCTTGACTATGGGGGCAGGTGGCGAGCCAGCCCTCCGCTGAGGGCTAGCCGGGCGCACCGGACGGTCGCGTTCACTGGGCACATCATCATCGTCGTCCGCCGACTTCCGCTTTCTCACTTGCAAATCATTAGGAGGAAGATCGCTCTCAGCGGCATCAGCATGGTCATTTGCATCATCACGTCGTTTCGGTTCATGTTTAATGAACTTCCGTCTCTTCTCAGGCGACAGAGATTCACGGCCCGATTGGATTATGGTTTCTGCCTCCGAGTCAGCCTTGGGGCTCGGTGGCCCATCGCCGTCCCCGACAGCAGGATCTACCTCTTTAGCGGGAGCATCCACTTCCTGAGCAACCGGGGGAGTGGTCCTCTTGGAAGGCGGGTGACCCAAGGTAGACTGGTGGTTCACCTTGACAGCAAAAGCGCTTTGTCCGGCATCCAGGGAAGCTGGCAGGGAGGAGACAGCCTCAACATCACTCATAGCGGTAGCACTCGATTTCTGGGGGTTCTGCTCGTCATTTTCGGGGGCCGTGGCGGACTTGAAGACCCGTGGTCAGATACACCAGCAGTTGCGCGCGGAAGCTGGTGCTCGACCACGCTAGATGTAGATAAGTAGTGACAGCTTATTTCCTTTCACCGGACGAGAGGAAAGGTCAGGGCGGTAGTGAGCGAGAGCGAGAGAAGGGTGAAGAGGCGGATTGAAGAGTGACGAGAGGGGACAGAGGAGGGTGTAAAGGTGGGTGGTGAAGTCAAGAGAGAAAGTAGCGACAGGATAGCAAGTAGTAGGGAATTCGGTCGGGAGGTGTAAGAGGAATAGAAGAGGTAATTAATCGGACCAAATGAAGGAGAAGGAGGGGGAGGGAGGGGAGGAAGAAGAGGGGAAGAAAATAAGAGTCAAGGAACTAAGCGGAGGGTTTGGATGGAGAGTTGAAGGGGGGTGGGAAAGAAGTTAAAGTCGAGAGGACAGAAATAGTGGAAAGAAAGAAAAGATGAAAGAAGATGGGAGAAGTTGAAACGGCCGACGGGCACTGGGATGGGCGAAATTACCAGGTAATGGCGGTCCCGTAGTGGAAGTTGGTAGCAGGACCAGGGCGGTAGGAGTAGTTCGCCGTCCGTGAAGTTAGTTGGGTCTTAGTGGGTGGTTAGTGAAGATTTCTGGAGGATCCGGAGGGCGAACTAGCAACAGAGAAAAAAGGGTAAATAAAAAGGGATTCAAAATAATCAGAAATTGTTATGGAAATAATTGTGACTTAAAAGAAAGAAAACAAACTTAAAGAAATAAGAATACGAATAAGAAAATAATATGGGATTAAATGACACCAACGGCAGCGGCAGCAGCAGCGACAGTTAGACAACAACAATAACAACAGCTTGACAGCATAATCATCATAATAATGATGATAACAGTAATAATAGTAGTAGTCACTTAGTGCTCCCGTAGTTACTGGACTAATCACGCACTGGGGTGGAAAAGACCCCGAGGGATGAATGATGATTGCTAGGAGTCATCCGCCGCCGCAGCCAGCAGCAGCAGCAGCAAGCAAGCAGAAGAAATCAATCGATCGTTAATTAGTTCATCGTTCGAGTCGTCATGGTCATAGTGGTCATTGTGGTCATAGTATTCGCCCCGGGAAACTTACCACCGGGGGGCCTTGCCATTTGGCCACCGGCGGAGCGAATGCCTTTCGCTAGTTGGTTAGTCATGGATAGTCAGTCCCCCAGTCTGACCAAGTACGGTACAGAAAATCAGGGTATTGAAATCATTTCGCGGAATTGAGGGGTCGCCTGCTGTTCATGCTGTTGCTGCTTCATGCTGCTACTGTGGCCTATGGAAAGTGTGGATTAAATTGATAAATCGATCAATAGATAGCTGGGGATGTGACAATTCGTGACCCGCCAAGTGAAGGACTTACGTTTGTTCCAACACCATGAAACGGTAAGTGATAGGCAGAGTCAGGGAGCAGTACTCCCGTGGAGGGCCGGTTAACGTTGATTATTACAACATTGCCGTTTCCGCAAGCTGAAAATACAGACGCAGACGGGATGTATCTACCCTATAACCAGGTACTAGTTGCAACTATGACACCTTGGAAAGATGGAATGGATGGAGACCAGTCCAGTTCAGCTACTGCTGACCAGACTTGACTTACCTTCCTTGATCCTTACGTACAGCGGGGGGGACGCCAGTCGCCATCCATCCAATCCCACCCCGACGGACAAGTCCAGCTGCAGCCGCGACTTGAAGCGACCCGACCGGGAGAAAGCCTGCTCTTTGCCTGCTGGCCTTGCTGGCCTTGCTGGCTTGTTCTGCCTGAGGGTCGAATCCGTCGACTCGCGCGACCCAGATCCAGAAACTCAAATGATTAGTACACACAGTTTCTAGTTAGTTAGTATCCTGCGAGAAGGCCCAAAAGCGGGCGGGGAGGGGCGGTCAAGACCAGTTGACTCTTTCGAGGGAAGATGTGGCGGAAAAAAGATCTAACTGATTATCCCTGATCATTTCTTTTTTTATTTTCCTTTCGGTTTTCACTCTTTCACCGGCCGGAGCTGGCTGCATAGCGCCCACTTTTTTACTTTTTTTGGTCAGGTCACTCACTCACTCTGCGTCTGAAACTCGGGCTCTGGAACGGAGGAGAGGAGGGGAGGGAGGAGGAAAAGGAAAGTGACGGGACGGGGGGAGCCAGTCAAAAGGCAGTCAGTGCCAGTTTAGTGGCAGATTGGCAGATGGACAGTCCCCCCATCCTCGTCGCAATTGGGTCATTTCTCTTGGAAGCTGCGTAGGCTATCAGGCTAGGCATCCACAGCTCGTCCCCTGGTTTGACCAATTATTGATGGCCGAGCGACCCGGTACTTGCTGTTTTCAGCCTAGAAGGGTTCTGCGAAAAAAGTGCGCGACCCACTGGGCAACAGCAGATCTCCTTCTTCTCCCTCGGCTGAGACCAGTCATCGCAAAGGTTGCTCTCAGCTTATCGCCCCACTTTGCCCCCCCTTCCTCTTGTTGCTGCTGTTGCTGTTGCTGTTGCTGTTATGTTAGTAGTCTAGTAAGTAGCTGTTGTGGTGGTAATGATGGTGGGCGACCTTCTGGTTGGCGTTGCATGGGTGACTTTCTACTATCTCACCCCCCATCCATGGATCGACCGAGTCTTTTGGGACAAAAAGGGGGGGTGGTGTTGTTGTGGTAAAGGAGAGAAAGAGTCAAGTGTCTGGTGATCCGGAATGTTGGATTGATCCAAAGCGATCCCTATTTTAAATACCGAGTATGCTGGGGTAGTACACACGCATACACAACAACACACCGGACGGAGGAGAGGAAAACTGAAGTTCCTCCAAGTCCTCCTCCGCCTTCTCCCTTCTTCCCTTCCCCCCTCCGGACCTCCGAAGTCCCGGTTATTTGGGAGGGATTGTTTATTGCAGGAGATGAGAGGCCGCTTTAGTCTCGGGTCTAGCTCGCAAGCTGCTTCCTTCTCACGAGACCCTGGTGGATCAAACACACGCCGATTCCTACTCGGATGGGGAGCGCCTGTTTATGATTTATGACTGCTCATCTCGCTCATCCCCTTGGCTGTGGAGTGGTTTCGGTGGTTTTTCTGTTCTCCACATCTCGAGCTTTTTGAACGTGTCGCATCATCATGACAGCCTATACCCTTTGTAACCGTAATATTACCAGAGCCTCCTCCGGTGCCATGATACCGTCCGGCCCGGGGCGCAGCTTGCTCTCTTTGCCTCTCTCTCGCGCATCTTCTCCAGCTTCTCTCCTGTTGTCTAGACTCTTGTCACCAAATTTAGGAGCCGGCGGAACTGGTGACCATTAGCTGTTCTCTTCTCCCCCCCCTCTCTTCTCCCTCCGCTGCAAAAGTCCTACTCCGCATTGGCGGCGGACTCCGGTCGCAATGGAGCTCCCCTTCAGCCTGGTGGATACAGCTCTTTCCTCCACGCACATTGACGCCATCGACGCCCTTCGAGCCTTTTTCCTTTTGGCATCCTGCACGGTATGCACCGATATGTTGCCATCCCAAATTCGAGGCGGACGACGTTGCAAAGTGACCCTGCATCAACTAAACCCAGAATATCCCAACTAGATACTCTCCGTCAGCATCCTGCCAGATTCGCTTCATTCACGCTTCATTCCTTATGGCGCTCGTACAACTTCGACGGCCGACTCGCAGTCCTCGCAGTCCTCGCCCCCGGCGTCCTCGGACTCCTCCCCAGCCGCCCGCGCTCTTGACTACGCTGCCGCCTTGACAGTCCCTCACAGCTACTTCACGCAATTCTACATTGCCTCCGTTTTGGCCTCGGTCTTCTGGGCTGCGCAGCTTCTGTGTCAAGGAGCCGTGTTCCAGGCCTTTGCAACGAGAATCAGTCCGGAACATATGCAACAGTCCATGTCCATACACCAAGTCTTCTTGTGCTGGGCGCTCATGCTCATTCAGGGTGCAAGGCGGCTATATGAGTGCAAGGCCTTCGCCAAGCCTTCAGCCTCAAGAATGTGGTTTGTTCACTGGCTCGTAGGCCTTGCATTTTACCTAGCAGTATCCGTTGCCTTATGGATCGAAGGAGCAGGTACCACTCTGACTGACAGGCTAAAATACCGAACCCCACTGATTGCATCTAGGAGCCCTGCTGTCTCATAAAGTGATTCTCGACGACCTCAAGGTTACAATAGCACCCTCTCTCCGCACCTTTGTCTGCATTCCTCTTTTCTTGATTGCATCAGGCATCCAACACGACTGCCACCATTACCTCTTCTCTTTGAAGAAATATACCCTGCCCACTCACCCCATCTTTCGCAGGATCGTATGTCCACATTATACGGCAGAGTGTGTGATATATCTTTCGTTGGCTCTGCTGGGCGCGCCCAAGGGCGAGGTCGTAAACAAGTCGTTGTTGTCCGCTCTCGTATTTGTTGTTATCAACTTGGGCGTCACCGCTGCGAACACTAGGCATTGGTATATGCGAAAATTCGGCGAGGAGTCTGTGCGGGAAAGATCGAACATGATCCCTTGGGTTTACTAATTATGTAGCATGAGACCAGCGGGGAAATTGGCCTGAGACATGAGCCCCGGATGCGTCGCGTCACCGACTGCCGAGGAACTTCATCGTATTCCCGAGACTGGCAACTTTGAGCACATCTCGATAAGTCAAGCTTATCCTAGTCTCCCTCTCCAGCCAGCCGCACTCATATCTGTCTGGCTCCCGCAACAAATCCCAGTTGCAGATGGATTCTGCGCCAAGCCCTTCATCCCTGGTGGTCTCTGCAATTCCATGCAGAAAGTCGGTATAGATACTCTTCGTGGTAACGAGCAGGCTGCGCCTTTCCTGCAAAATCCTATACACCGGACGCCGGCCATGTCCGCTCCCTTTGCCATCCTCGCTTCTCTCGTACAGATCTAGCACGATAGGAGCTCCCAGGCTCACAGTAGCTACGAGCGGGTAGTAGGCAGCACCGTCTTCATGCGGCATTATGCCCTGTCCCGGGCGGTATTCATTTACCAGAACATGATTCGGGGCGTGGTGCGGGGCGTCCGCGAAAAGACCCAAGGAGTCGAAGCGAGGGGTGATGATGGGTGAGACGAGCCAAGAGGGCAACGGGGAGGAGATGAGCGCGTTCGATTTTGTCAGGGCCGAAGGCCAGGTTTGAAGTCGCCGGTGAGCTAGATGAGTCCAGCGGGGTAACGGCGCAGTCGTTATCTATAGCCGGGGGTCCATGAGCGCCCAACATCCCCACAGGGCCTGAATGAACTTAGGCCACTGCACAGTAAAGCCACGGTAACTCACTCACCTTTCGGAGGAGAAACTCCTCTTCATCCTCCGAGATGAAATCCGCTATGTAGAATCCATCGTCCGGCAGTGATTTGATGCGGGCGGTCTCAAGATCGGCTCTCATTTGTTGGAGTCAATCCCGGGGAGCACACGGAGCAAATATCCCTGTTGTTCAATGGGGGGTCGGATGACGACTGGGAGGAGATTAATCTATCAGAACGAGTCCGTTGAGTTGGTTACACGGTAAGCCGGGCGATCAGACAGGGGGGGTGTGGTCGGTCACGGTGAAAGAAGGGGATCGTAGTGAAACTTACCGGGCGTTGAGCGTAGACCCGGAACCCAGACGGGATGAATGGTAAGGGAAGTGATGATGCCGATGAATGGCATGTCGTCACGATGAGACGCAATGGCTGCCCACTTGGCCGAGCTGTGGTACGTAATCCGTAGCGTTAACTCCATCACAATGGATTGATGCCCAGTGACTGTTCAATTAGTCGTGTGGGTGATAAGAATAGAAGTCACTTTCCCCTCACCTGACATCTGCGGACAGCTCATGACTCGACAAAAAGCTTATCTATCAACTATACTCCGGATCAAAGTTACTTCAATCATCAAAATAAACAATGCCTGAGCATCACATAAACATACACAAATATATATATATACCCATATGGATATAGATGAACCCCTCGTTCTACCATGATGCAAACAGTATGTTCAACCCAGTAGCCTGAAAACTCCCCACCCCGGACTAAGACATGGTCCTTTGGCATGACTATGAGCTTGAATCGATCAATCACTTCACGATCTGTTTTAAATCATCCATCGTCACAACTGAGGAACCCCGGCCTTCATGGTACTCATAAGGACGTAGCTCCGCGACTGACTGCTAAAGTGAACAACATACTCGGCTGATACTGTAGCTGAAACTGTTCTGATACACTTCCAATTGAATTGAAAACCCACACTACGTTTCATCATGAGGACTATACCTTCAGGCTAAGGCTAAGACTGAATCTGAGCCTGGGAGGTGTGGTGTATGCAGATACTCCATGCTTTGGCTCTTCGCCACAAGCTGCTATACAGTTTGACGCAGGACTTCCCTATTGTTTTTCATCGTTTCCTCAATAATTGGCCCATTCTGGGACTATTTGGGAGCCGCCATATCTCAATGTTGCTGGTTCCTTGTTCTTGAGTACCAGCTTAACGGACTGATGAGGTTTCATACATAGATTGCTTTTTGCATCATTTTGATTCAAGTCATTCCATCTATCTGTCAACATATCCCCCCTTCTATCAACGACAAATAGATAAACACCTGGCCTCTTCGCGCAACATAATATGAGCCTGGACCTCGATTAAGTTCACATTGGGGCCATATTTGGCTACTGGTCCCAAAGATGAAATTAAAGCAGGAGGAGGGTACTAGTTAAGTCCGTCTTATTAATATATTGAGAGCTCGAACGGCGTCTGGAAGAGACTGCTTTCGGGGAAGATGTTCATTTATCTATGATTCAGGGATAAAGTATATATAACTATAGATGTAAACGGCCAAGTTATGCATTCCAATCTAGATATGAAGAGATGTATAGAGGAGAACCTTCTGTCTAGTTGTATCGGGAGATATACCAGATTCCATATATGCCTCAGGCCACCACCCCACCATAAATCAAGGCGGGGGTGGGATCTTTTGCTTCATATGCAAACAGCAACAGCAAACATCGTGCTTCCAACCACACCATCTTCCCCATCCTTAAGCACATACATAGCCTCTCTTTGAACCTCCTGCACAACCTTATCTGTACTCAAGGTACATAATAACATATTAAACCATGGCACCCAAGAACAAAGGCGGCGACAAGAAAGGCAAGGATGGCGGAGACAGCAACTCCAAAGGCGGCGGAAAGGGCCTCAAGCCTGCGAATGCTATTAACGTGAGGCATATTCTTGTATGTATACTCTTTCTCTCTCTCTTTCTCTCTCCACTTCTTTATCTTTCGTTTATTGTGCTGGGTTGTGTGGTTGTAGATGATCTTTTAGCTTTGGTGTGTATTTCTTATACTGCCATCTACCTATTCATTTCTCTGTCAATGAAAGAGGATAACATATGATGAACTTATATATATATCAAAAGTCCACATTCCTGGGTATGTTAACTAACAACGGCAGTGCGAGAAATTCTCCAAAAAGGAAGAAGCCCTAGAGAAGTTGCGCAACGGAGCCAAGTTCGACGAAGTGGCCAGAGAATTTTCGGAGGATAAGGCTAGGCAGGGTATGTTTTCTTACTTTTCCTTCTTCTATTCTATATCTTATCCATTTCCCATCGGAGTGGCTATGTGTTGGGTCAGCGCTAATTCTAGGGGAACTGGTACAGGCGGCTCCCTTGGGTGGAAGACCCGGGGCAGTCTGGATGCGACGTTCGAGAAGGCGGCGTATGATCTGGAGCCGAGTACGACGGGGAACCCCAAGTACGTGGATGTGAAGACTGGGTTTGGGTATCATATTATTATGGTTGAGGGGAGGAAGTAGATCATATTACTGTAGTATCTGTTTTAATCACTATATTTAGGGTTAGGTTAGGATTGCTATGGATATTGCATGAAGAAATGAATCGACCGATCTATAAGTTCAGATCAAGTCTGATAATGAAAATGTATGTACATAATGCAGAAAAGTAATACTATCTATCATGAGGCGAGTATATATCACCTACTGCTTCTTAGCAGCCTTCGCTCGCTCTTTGGCGGCCTTCTCCTGCCGTTGAACAATAGCTTCGGCACCAATACCACCAAAGACAAGGCCCACGCCCAACCACTGGCCCGCCGAGAGGGAGTGGCCGAACCAGAACACACTCAGGAGCATGGTCAGCATCTTGCGCGTGACCGTCACCGTGACCAGAAGCAAGGATGAGAAGCGCGACAGCGTGTAGAAGATAAACAGCTGTCCGATGGCTCCGCAGGCAGCGAATCCGAGCACATTCTTCAGGGCTTCCGGGTGACGGGATAGGAAGCCAATGGCGGAGTTCAGCTCCGTCTCTGTGGATGGGGGAATCGGGAACGGGAGGAGGTTGTGCAGAATGCCGGTAGATGACAGATGGGGCATGATCAACAGGTAGCTGCTCGTCAGGACAGTCGAGAGGACATTCTGGGCAACCATCATTTGCGGCCCGGTGAAGCGCGTGTACAGCTGCGGAGAGCTGAAGACGTGGTCCTGGGTGGTGTTCGTGAGGCCGTCCAGGAGCAGGTTGATGGAGAGGAGGAAGATTCCCCATGTGCTCGAGCCCGACTGGCCCTTAGCGGCTGATGCGGCGACCTTCTTGCTAGTACCGGGGTGGTGGAGGGTGAATGTGGCGACTCCGAGTGTGACCAGGAGAACGACACCGTACTTGTACAAGGGGTATCTCTTGCGGAAAATGGTCAGGTGGAGGAACATGACGGGCAGGAGCTTGCACGATTTGGCGAGGATGAAGGTGAGGTAATCGATGTGCGCGAGACTGGCATATCCGAAAGGCGATGCGAGAGACGAAGAGATGCTGACCAGGAGCAAGGGGAAGACGATTTTCTTGGTTGGGAAGGGAGAGGGGATCTTCTGGCCGGACGGAGTCGAAAAGAACAGGTACAGGAAGCCGGTGATGGCGGCAAAGGTCGACTGGATCGTGTTCAGGACAATCGAGTAGGTGAAGCGCTCTGTCGGAGGTTCGGGGACTTCAGCAGTCGGAGGATGAGTAGGATAGGACACTGTGGTGATGGCTTCTTGAAGCACGCCCCAGGACAGACTAAGAAATCGCAGTCAGCATTTTGATGACTTCGGAAGTTCTCGACACCACGAACGGAAGACATACAATGAAGCGTAGATTCCCAAAACACAGATCGCAAGCTGCATCAAACCGGGAGTCTCCGGCGCATTCTCCTGCGCCGCTTGCTTTCCAGACGCACTTCCATTTGCGACGGAAGATTTCCCAATAATCCTCTTGCCTGGCGACTGTGAATCTTCCGAAGGCACATGCATCAGTTCAGAGGACGTGGCGCGTTGCAAAGGCGCAGCTTGTTTCTGGCGCGCCATGATCGACGACGAAAAAAACACCGCTTATACTTCGTCCAGATTATTTGCAGAACGGTAAAGAGAACAAGGACAAATGTATAATCAGGACAGGATCGCCAAGCACTGCCGGGTGTAAAGAAGGTATGTGAGAATAGACAGACAGTCAAACAAAGCCTTGATGGAGCAGACACTCGACTTTATAGTCGACCAAAGAAAACGATGATGCCATGTGTTCTTCTGCGCGTCTCCAAAACCGCCGCGGAATCTCGGCGCGATCGCCCTTTTTTTCTTTCCTCCGCCCCGCCGAGTCTCATTCTTCGGTCTCACTTTTCGACCCTTAATCTAATTCTAGAACTTCAATCGCGAACTATAGTTCCTGTCTATCCACCAGTCGCAGGTAGGTCTAATTCATCTATCCTTCTTGAACTATAATCACAAGCGCATACAGCAAACTAACCCAATCTGAATTTCTAGACTACATTCCCCTACACCTCCAATTCCGCCTCAACTCTACCATCTACAACCACAACCATGACTTCCACAATCCCACCAGCACCACCATCCCAACAACAACCACTCAATCCAACAACGACTGAAACAACAACACCCCTTCCCCCCTCCGCCCTCACAACCCTCCTCTCCACCACAACCACAACACCACCCACCCCCCTCTCCGCAAACACAATCCAAATCCTCCACAACCTCCAACACCAACACCTCTGGACCTCCCTGCGCGTCCACGACCTCCACCTCCCCAGCAAATCCACCACCGAACCTGAACAACCCCTCTACCTCATCTCCGGCATCCCCCCGCACCACCTCTACATCCACCCGGACGAGCAGCTGTTTATGCTGGAGCGCGGACTGCGCGAAGACGACGTCGAGCTCGAGCGCATGTTCGTCCTGCCCACGGTGCAGGGCGAGTCATGGACGCTTCGCAAGTTGGCGGGGGTGTTTGATTCGTTGCCCGAGGGTAGCGAGGAAGTACTGGAAGGAGGGGGTGAGAAGGCGGAGAAGTTGAGGGAATATTATGAGTATCGGGGGAAGGCGAGGGCTACGAAGGAGTGGGGTGGGAAGAGGTTGTTGTTGGCTATGGTGGATAGGAGGATGGGGGGTGATGGGACAGTGGTGTATTATGTTGTGCAGGATGGTGCGGTGAAGCCGAGACAGAATTAATATATGATTGGGGAGAGGAAATGGGGTTATACATGGGTTACGGGTGCGAAGAGAAGGCATATGCTGCTGAGCGTACAGCAAGAAGCAAGCAATACCTTCCAATTTCTCTCTACACCGAAGAAGATCGAATTATATACACGGATGACAGACAGCAACAAGAGACGAACCGGACCAAGTACCTCTCAGAGGCATTCGACGAAACGGACAGATGAGCAACTGCAGCCGGGTATCGTGGGGAACAAGCAAGTAACGGGGACAGATAAAACAGCCATGCATCCTCAGCCATGTTGTGAAAGAAAAGAGCAACTCATGGCGCACCTAAGGGACGTTCATCCTCAATTTGGGCGTGTTCCGCCTGGCAACTAGTGCAGTACGTTTCGTACCATTGCTGAACATCATCGGTGAGTTCAGCAAACACACTCTGCCCTGAGCGGTCCACCTCGAGGTCTACGTCTTCATTTCCTTCATTCTTGCCGAGAAGAATCTGGATTTGGCGACAGCGTCGCAGTTCCTGTCGCAACCATCGCTCCCACTCGCTTTGGATCACTTCTCTTTCGATGCTGTTGACCACGCGGAGAGCTACCAGGAGATCGTGTCGGTATGAAGCCAACCGTTCGCGCGTTTGCTGAATTCGTCGGGCTGCACTCCTGGTCATGGAGTCCCGGAATCCTGATGTTCCCAGAGATATTGTGTTTCCTGGGCTGCGTACGGTCTGCTGGTGGAACGTCGCGAAGCAATCACTCACATTTTCACTGCCGTGGCCAATGGTTGTATTGGCGATTGCGTCATCGATATCTCTCATGTAAATAGCTTTGGTCATGACATTGTCGGGGCTAACTCCGATGCGGGCCATGAAGTTCCCAACAGTCCTGTCATGCCACCATTCGTACGCATCGCGGGACGAATAGAACCCATTGATCAACATACTCGACAATAGCAAGATGAGAATGACTTTGTTCGCATGTGTGGTCTTCCACACCCAACGTAGAAAAGCGAACGTCCACATCATCAGGTCAGAGATTATGCTCTCTGTCAATGATGCAAACGTCTCAAAGAGGAGCTTTGGCAGGGACCTCTGAATGCGGGGGTTGCGCAGCTTCAATTGTAGGTCGGTCTGTGGCGAGAACTGGGAAGAAAAGCTCTGCCGTCCAATGTGTCCGAAAATCGTAATGGCCTTCTTGGTTCGACTATGCGCGCCTAGCCTGCGGACCTGGTCGCCTACCAGGTCAACGAGATCTAACGCGTCTTGCTCCAGATCATTGGTAGCACTTTTGTCAATTATATCTAGGATGTCTTAGCAAGCACTGATAACTCTCCTAGGGGCAAGGACTTACGCTGAAGGCCGTAAGGAGACCACAGCCACTCCACTTTAGTATAGATAGAGAGCTTGCACTTTCCCTTTGCGACAAATGTGATCACAATCTTGCTGACCAACCTGAAAGATCTTTTAAAAGGAAGATGCCAAGGTGTCCGTTTGTCTGTAATCACATAGCAGAGATGATCATTCAAGACGTCAATCATCTGATAATCCGGGATTTCCTTGGTATGAGTACGTCCTAGACCGAATTAGCGAGAACCGAACATGGAATGCTAGGTTACCCAACGTACCAAGGGCATCAGCCGTCTCAATTTCGTAATGAAAATCCCGTTTTAGGTGGTTGGACTCTTGTCTGACCCAAGGCCCTTGTTTGATACCTGTAGTCCTTTAGCAAGGGCCAGCCTTAGCTCCGGAGCTTGACTTACCCTTAGCTCTCCGTTGATGAAGGAGAAGCTGCCAGACGGCGCTCTTGTCTCCGAACAGGATATGGAAAACCGCTTTAGCACTTGTATCAAAAACCTTTTCAGCCGCCAAATGAAGATCTCCTTGTGGCACATATTGAACAGGCTGCGTTGGCAGTCTGAACTTGGGAGTATTTTTGCCATTTCCATTCTTCTTATGCATGTCCAAGTCGTTATCAATGTAGACACCAACATCTTTCTTCGGGGGTTCCGTGCCACTTTCCCCTCCTTCAACATTGTCATCTCCAGCAGCCACATCCTCCCAGCTATCAAGGCTAGGAGTCCGCGTTAGTGCTTCACTCTCCATCCGGTTCAGTGTCTTGAATGTTGCTTCCAGGCCCAGTGGCTCGGCGGCAGTAGAATTATGAATCAAAAAGTTAAGCCGCCGTTGAAGAAGTCGCAATGGCTCAAGGAAAGTCTTAACCGTTCCACGACCAGGAGTATCGTCTCCTGGAGGAGGGATCATATGAAGGTACAAAAAGTCGCAGTCCCTTCCTGGGGCAGCAGTAACTTCTTTAATACTCTCCAATGAAATACACGTCGTGAGTACTAGCCCGAAGTGGTGGCTGTAGAAGTAGATGTTTTGGGTCGTAACGTAGGCCCTTCCGGGGAAATCTTGCTGATCGTTGGGATTCCAGGTAGCACGGAACACCATAACCAGAGGTTCATCTTTTTTGATGTCAGGAAATAGTAGCCGGAACTGCGCATCCTGAATCTTAAGTTGCTGCGGGTAGTAACTGGGATAATCGTGCGCATCGCCAAGCAATGCCCGCTGCATCTTGGACGAGTCTCCGTCAAGGCTCACCGTCTGCCTGTGACGTGGCCCAGACTTCGGCGGCTTATTTCCTGGAGACCCACTAGACGTGTCAGCTTCGGCTGTCAGGAATTGCTTAGACGGATCATTCGCTGGCGAGGCCGGCTTGTCTGAGGGGCCTGAGTCCTGCTCGCCAGGTAGTCCTATGCGTTCACGTTCAATCCGATTCATGAAGCCCCAGTTTGAACTACCCCACAAATTAGCCATCATGCCACTCGGCATTCCTCCTGTTTTGTCGGCTTGCCCCAGTCCTATACCCCTTTCATGGCTTACGATCACAGCCGCCTTGCTCATGGTTGTTGGAGCAGGTGGATTGGCCAAGGTCCCTGGAGCAAGAGTCGAGGGAGAATCGTTGCCAAATGTCGAGCTACGAGTCCTAGTCCCATCAATGTCGAGGGGTAAAGGAGGGCTGCCTGGTCCAAGAGCACTGTGACTGGCAGAGATCAAGCTTGCTATGCCACCTCCGGCACCCGGCAACGAAGTGGATGGCGCCACTGCATTGTTTGATTTGCGGTGAAGGTCCAGCTTCTGCATTATACGCGATGCGTGTTCGCGTGCGGAGCTTTCGGAATCCAGCGTCGTCAACCTCCTATAACTGCTGAGATCACTACTGTTCCTCATGGCGGAAGGGTCTCTTTCAGGTAGGGCAAGCATCCCGCTGCGATCTGCAGAGCTCTGCTCGTCACTGACACGGGGAGTGAGCGAATCAGAAGGATCGGCAGCAAACTCGGGAGCTGGGGGCTGAGAGATTGCGAAAGCAGGATCCTGAACAGTAACTTTGCCGGACACTGAGAGATCAGTGCTAGCCGGGTTCTCCAAAGCCTTTCGCTTGGCGGCCTCGAAGGCAGCAATCCAATCCATGAGTTCTTTCTGAGTCTCAGCCTGAAGCATGACAGTATTACTCTTCGTTTTGACTTCGAAGCAAAACCTGCGCTCTTCTTGAAAGGCAGCCCGAACACTGCAGAGAAGAACGCCTATCCGTTCGCTCTCTTCAACGCCACCTGTTCGCGAGCCCTGAACAAGGCAGCCGAAAATACCGTGCTTCAAGAATGCCCATCGTCTAACCCAGATAGTCCGGGTAGGCTTCCCAGAAAGAGTCCGCAAGAAAACCCATCCTTGCTTCTCAGGTCTAGCCTCCTTGCTCATGCTGGTTGTCGACAGGGGCCGAGAGCCGAGGTAGGGAACAGTGGACAAAGAGTAATCTTCTAGTTCTCGAGATGGCCTAGCTGCATTCTCTGCTGCTTCTTCGATCTGCTTCCTCGAATTCAAAAGCTCCCGCTTGGAAGATCGCTCACCCCCTTCCATTTCGTGAGCCCAGCCTTTGATGCGGTCCATCTCTTGACCCCATTTCGCGAATGCCGCACCATTGCTGTTGTGGAATATCTTAAGCTCCCGCCACTGATCATAAGAAACCCGGACTAGCAGTCGGTCGAGCGAGTTGCGCAATTGGGGGGCCTGTATCGAGTAGTCCATTGACGCTTTGAGGTAAGCTTTGCGAGCTTCATGGAGTTGAAAAGCATCTTCCCTTAATGAAGAAGGCTCCTTTGACTTCGATTGCGATGAGTATCGGGCCAACAGGTAGTCGTATTGTTTCTGTGTCTGCTCGAGGTTGCGACGGATCTCCTATAGCGGGGTAAGAGCCAGATCCGCGTGGATTTCAGGGGCAACCAGTCAAGTACCTTGAAAGTCCGCAAATCTTCATGCATGAAGGCCCGGATTGGCTCAGCAATGAGATTTTCCATCTTTTTGACAGTAGATATCAGTCCATTCCACATATCTCTGGTGCTGTCCCCACACCTCCTCATCGACTGCAGCGTGTAATCATGATCAAGGACAGCTTCGGAGACCAGTAGGGGGTTCGTAGAATAAGACAGGAAGATGTTCGCCGCGCTTTCCATTGCTGCAAGCTCTGAGGAGAGCTTGGAAGCGGCCCTCGCATAGCCGTCGAGCCATCTTTCAAGGAATTCGATCTGGTCGGAGAAGTGAAGGGTGGTGGCTCGGAATGTGGGCGAGTCGAGAGCAGCCTCCTTTAGACCAACTGGACTTCACCGGAACAGTTAGAAAGGAACCTATGAAGCGATTCAGAGAAGCACAGCTGATTCAGAGGACTTACACGACGCTGACGAGCTTCCCGACCTGGGGTAATGGGATCTGCGGCTGAGTCGACATCTAGTGTATGTCACCAGCCATACACTTGATGCGAGCAAAAGTAGCGGCAAGACAAGGCAGCAATGAGGCCCCTAGTCAAGTCAAAGAATGATAACAGATATGAAGCATCCGAAAAACTCAGGGATACAGGTGAAGGTGGGAAAGTAGCATGGTTAGTGGAGGAAGCTTACTAGGAGACACAGCGCCTCTTGCTCGAGCCATCGGCGGATACAGGCCCGCGCATGATCTAATTGGCTACGTCAGTGGTTCGCTTTGACGGCCTTGGGTCCCCAGGCAACAAAGGGCCCTGTAGGGCGGTGAGCCCCGCCGACTTTTTTTTCTGCCGGCAACCGCTATTATTTTCTTTTGGGAGGCGCATTTGGTCGGAGATAACCTCCTTCATCGATCGCTTTCACATACTAGTGGTCTCCCGACAGCTGTGTCTGTTATTTCGAAATGGAGCCCCCAGCCAAGAGGTCGCGCAAGCTGCTCGATGACGACAGCTCCAGCGACTCAGGAGACGAGTCCGGCGGAGTTCCCATCACCAACGAGGACGTTACATTCAAGATCAACGAAGAGTATGCGCGCCGCTTCGAATACAACAAGAAGAGAGAAGAAAAGCAGCAATGTAAGTTCCTATGCATCTACAATCTGCATGCGAGGAGAAACTAATCTCTGTTCTACAATAGTGGAGTCTAAATACGGAAAATCTGTGCTTGGCAAACGTCGTGATCGCGATGGTGAAGATGAGTCCGGCGACTCGGAGGATGATTCTACCTCTGAAGAAGAGGACGAGGATGGAGAATTAGCCACCGCCGCCCTGGATGCCGAGATTATGGCCACGCTGAACGCGATCAGATCAAAGGACCCTCGGGTGTACGATAGCAATGCCACTTTCTACACCGGGACCGACGAGGAGGCGAAACCCGAAAGCTCTGAAAAGAAAGAAAAGCCTATGACCCTTCGTGACTACCATCGTGAGAATTTGTTGAGTGGCGCCAATTTGGCAGATGAGGACGCATCTGAGGCGCCGAAGACCTACGCTCAAGAGCAGGAGGAATTGAAGGATGCGGTTGTCCGTGAAATGCACGCCGCTGCCGGTAAAGGTGATGATGGTGAGGACGACGAAGATGACTTCCTTGTTGCCAAATCGGCGCCTGAACCTCTTCCGGCGGCCAAGAAGGATGTCAATCTGGATGTTGAGAATGCGGACAAGGACCCGGAAACCTTCCTTTCAAACTTCATGTCGGCAAGAGCGTGGATACCTGCTGGTAGATCGGAACTTCAACCGTTCGAGTCTGATGACGAAGAGGAAGATCAACGGGCAGAGGCATTCGAAGAGGCATACAACTTCCGCTTCGAAGATCCCAGCAAAATCAACGCTACCTTAATCACTCACTCTCGTGACACAACCAACAAGCAGTCGGTTCGCAGAGAAGAAAAGAGCAGCCGAAAGAAACGCAGAGATGCGGAGAGGCAGCAGATGGAAGAGGAGAAGAAGCAGCGCGAGACGGAAAAGAACCGCCTGCGGAAGCTCAAGATGGAAGAACTTCAAGAGAAGGTCAATCAGATCAAGGAAGTTGCCGGCATTCGTGCAAATGAGCTGACTGACGAAGATTGGGTCAGCTTCTTGGACGCTGCCTGGGATGACAAGAACTGGGAGGAGGAGATGCAGAAGCGTTTTGGTGAAGATTACTACGCGGAGGGCGATAAGGAAGGAAGCGGTGACGAGTCAGGAAAGAAGAAGCGTCTGAAGAAGCCTACGTGGGATGATGATATTGATATCAAGGATCTCGTGCCCGACTTCGAGGAAGAGGAGAAGCCCGCCGTGGATGGTTCTGATGTCGAGATGGAGGATGATGAAGAGGAAAGTAACAAGAAGAGCAAGGCGCAGGAGAGACGAGACCAGAAGCGTGAAGCGCGCAAAGACCGACTTCGTATTCAGGAGGCCGTGGATCGCAACTTGGATCTTGATATCAGCCTTCTTCCGGGTGCGACCAGGAAGAATGCTACTGGGTTCCGCTACCGTGAGACCTCGCCTCAGAGTTTTGGATTGACTGCACGAGATATCCTCATGGCCGACGACACCCATTTGAACCAGTTTGCGGGCTTGAAAAAGCTTGCTTCGTTCCGTGACCCTGAGAAGAAGAGCCGGGATCAGAGGAAGCTGGGCAAGAAGGCCCGCCTAAGGCAGTGGCGCAAGGACACCTTTGGTGACGAAGAAGGCCCCAGGGTTCCCTCGGAGGCGCCACGGGCACCTACGCCGGACAAGGAGGATGCCGGTAAGGTTGATATTCGTGAAGGTGAACCCAAGAAGAAGAGGAGAAAGAGAAACAAGAAGAACTGAACCTGGGGTGCTTCTTACTGTACATGCATCTGGGAATTTTATGATATACTAGACAGTATTGTTCATTGTTCAATAACGGCGTATCGGTAATGAAAGCTGTCTACGCCGTTGGTAGATAAGCTGGTCAAAAGTTACAAATATATTTACCTACTGCATAGCAAAGAGTTTTATTGAATTCAACTAGGGACAACAGTTGGTTGACCTTTGTGCCAATACTCTAGTATAACCAAGGTGCTCTAGTACTCATGTCAAGATATGTGATGCTGGATATAATGTGTACTTATGGGTATTATTTTGCTGAAGCTATATATTCTGCGAGAACCGAACCATTCTAAACACGGATCAGGATACATAGGAGTACTGATGAACCACTACAGTAGCAACTGGCCTTCAGAAACGGCAAAAATAATGAATCGTGAAATTTCCAACAACTTTAACCCAATCAACATGCTACAAATCCCAATTTTGACCACACCCAAGACACCTAAACCACACCCGAACCTACCGTTGCTGGCACAACAGGCGTAGATGAAAGGTGGTATCCCCATGTTTTTTAGCGGGTGGGTCCCGGACGAAAAGGAAAGAGTTTGTCAGGTTTGCCCGCCCCGTCGAACAAACAAAAAGATCAAGAATTAAAAATAAAAATTGAAAAAAAAGGAGGAAAGGAAGAAGAAAATCGAAAGACAGAAAGAGGAGGACCAAGGTGGAAAATGAAACTAGTCACATTCGAGCAGAAACAGTGGGTCCCGGCTGGAACAATTCCTGTTTGGGTAATGTAGGTCTCGTGTCTTCTTTGGCTGCATACGAAAATATGATGCCGGCACCTGAAAAGTGTGGAAGAATATCTGGATCGGACAGATACACTGGTCGCGTGTATATCTCTTGTATCTACTGATATAGCGTGGCTATTCAGAACATGAAGAGTGGTGATAATTGAATCAATTACCCCTTAGCACGCACATAAGACTACTACCTGCGATCTTCGGACACTAGGATGAGGGATAAAAAGGAGTACGGTCTGAGGTATATAACCTCTAGGAACAAGCATATGCTACTGCTGTGCCCTTGCCTACGAAATGCAGCATAGCCATGTAGTGTACTCCGTAGAAAAACTAAGCTTGGACAATAGCGACTGATATTTAACCGGAGAGAGTATGATAGAGACCAACCTATGGGATACTTCATATTACCGACGTTGCCCGTGTTTGCGATCGCTCCCTTGGCCGCCCCCTTCTGTCTCTCTCTCTCGCTCTCTCTCCGTACCTGAGAACTTCCGCCCGGAGCAAGAAAAACGGGGAAATCGCGGCATGTCAGCCGAAAGACGCCGCACGCACCTGATCAGTCCCGGTGGCGCGTATGAAGGCCCAGAAACCGTGGACTCCGTTTGGATGCTGCAGATAGATAAGTAGTAGCGTAGATATTTAAGTAACTGAGTTTTGTGAGTTGTCTTCAAACAATTTCTACACAGGAGGCCGATGCAAATTTACAATTTCGGTCTTGCAATTGTCGTTGTGCACGAGTAAGTCAAGTACACAGTAGGAGGCTGAGAGGCAAGCGTTTTGCCATCGGATATCCGGGACCAGATGGAAAGAAGGGGCGGTTCCCCATGGATGGAGCGCGAAGGTGTGGACTCCAAGAAAACGCTTTGGTTCGGTCAAGACGGGGAAATGGGAGAGGAATGGATATCTTACGAAGCCGAATTACGGAGAAAGGGCCCAAACATGTAAATTATGGCCTGTAGGTCAATCAGCAAAGGGCCGAGCGGTGATTGCGAGTACACCGATCGGTAGACTACGGAAGGGATGAAAAAGACAGGAAAATAGCGAGAGCTACATGCCGTTTCAGAGGCTATCGAAATGATATTCCAAAGTATCACCAGTAGCCATAACCACTATAATAAAGGACGAAGATGAGAGTGCCTTCGTTCTCTTTGACCAGAAATTCACTCATAGTATCAAAGGGTATTTCCCAATAATGTCAGCGGTCGGAGTTGGTTACTGGCGCGATCGGGAGATATCGGCTCTTCGTTGCCTGGGCCAGCATTAGCGCCGGGTCCAGGTTTTTTTTTTGCAAATTTTTTTTTCTTTTCCTGGCTATGTTTTTTTTCGTTCCCCCTAACAATGGGAAGGACCTCCCTACTCCGTACCGGGCCAACCAATCCGGCCAATGGAAACTGGGCCGGGACGCCCATCGCCGCCGCTGCCACTGCAAATTCAGGCCAGCGAAAAACCCAAGAGCGTCCTAGCGTCTCCGCTCGCTTCTTCCCGCTTACAAGAGCCCTTCGCTCGCTATTTTTTCTTCCCTCCCTTCCCTTCTCTCTTCTTTTCTTTCCATCCCCTTTGAAGTGTCCTGTTTGACTGGCACTATCATCCATCTCCTCTCTTTCTTTCCTTAGTTTTCGTTCATCACAGCCGTCAAAATGGCCAAGGGTGATGTTAACCAGGCCGACAAGACCGTCTTCGGCATGCCCGTAAGTTCCTACTTGTCCCCTACGAGCTGAGAGGCCAGGTTGTCGGATGTCGCGCTCTCGACGGAATCGGTTCAAATTGGTCTTGAATATCAAAGATCGAGTACTACGCTCCTTGGAGACTCGACAGTCTGACGATTTGGCCGGGCTCAATGGTGTTGTTGCTGGACTAGGTGGCTAATGAAAATTTTTTCACAGGGATTCGTCGTCGACTTCCTGAGTATGTGCATTCCGGCTCGCCCCGAATGATCGATCATTGCACTACGATCGATCAATTCCCATCCCAACGAGCAACACGAATTGTGCGATGTTGATTTGAAATTGATACTAACTACTGGTACAGTGGGTGGTGTCTCCGCTGCCGTCTCCAAGACTGCTGCCGCCCCCATCGAGCGTATCAAGCTCCTCATCCAGAACCAGGTTGGTTAAGCCTCAACACCAATGTCTTGCACTGGCGGAACGAAAATACTTTGCACGATCTGCGGTTGCGTCTTCGAAACGACATTGCTCCGACCGAAGATTGCCAATTCAGCCGGGCGCAAAAATTTTCACTCCGGACAGTCGGGACGTGAGATCGGCCCAAACAGATGCTAATACGATTGTCCTTCAGGATGAGATGCTTCGCGCTGGTCGTCTCGACCGCAAGTACAACGGTATCATGGACTGCTTCCGTCGTACCGCTGCCTCCGAGGGTGTTGTTTCCCTGTGGCGTGGTAACACTGCCAACGTTATCCGTTACTTCCCCACCCAGGCTCTTAACTTCGCCTTCCGTGACACCTACAAGTCCATGTTCTCCTACAAGAAGGAGCGTGATGGATACACCAAGTGGATGATGGGTAACCTTGCCTCCGGTGGTGTATGTATCCCTATATCCAGTTTGATACTCGAGCGATCCCGCTAACAATCGGTTCAGGCTGCTGGTGCCACTTCCCTCCTCTTCGTCTACTCCCTCGACTACGCCCGTACCCGTCTTGCCAACGACGCCAAGTCCGCCAAGGGCGGTGGTGACCGTCAGTTCAACGGTCTCGTTGACGTCTACAAGAAGACCCTCGCCTCCGACGGTATTGCCGGTCTCTACCGTGGTTTCGGTCCCTCTGTTGCTGGTATTGTTGTCTACCGTGGTCTGTACTTCGGCATGTACGACTCCATCAAGCCCGTTGTTCTGGTTGGTCCTCTCGAGGGTAACTTCCTTGCTTCTTTCCTGCTCGGCTGGACTGTCACCACTGGTGCTGGTATCGCTTCTTACCCTCTGGACACCATCCGTCGTCGTATGATGATGACCTCCGGTGAGGCCGTCAAGTACAAGTCCTCCATGGATGCTGCTCGCCAGATCGTCGCCAAGGAGGGTGTCAAGTCTCTCTTCAAGGGTGCCGGTGCTAACATCCTCCGTGGTGTTGCCGGTGCTGGTGTCCTGTCTATCTACGACCAGGTCCAGCTCATCCTCTTCGGCAAGAAGTACAAGGGTGGCTCTGGCTAAGCGCTTGATTAACTTCAAGCTGTTTCAGTCATGATATCGGGGAAATGGGGTTGCCGGTGTCTTGGTGTAACTACCAGATGCTGGAGGTGCTGCGGAGGATAGAAATATGCGTCAAGAGTGATATCAATAATCTTGAGCATAGAATCGTGTGATATTTCCTCTTGTACCAGTTGTATTTTACTGCCCGCAAGCTTATTTCTTTTTTTCTTCCAACTGTACTTTCTCCACCTTGGTTTCGAAATCTAGTATGTCTCCTTGGGGTCTTGATCACTTTTCAGTCCCGTAAAGTAGATGCCATAGTTGTAGTGAAAATTTTCAGCCTCTCGGTCACCTGACCCAATGGCAAACATCACGTGCAGCATAGCTTCCATGACGTCGGTCCAGTTCCCATTTCATTAGTTCTGTAGCTTCACACCCTTCTCTTGATACATTCATCCCATTCACCCAATTCACTCATCTTTAAAATGACCAGTGCTTCTTCCCCAGATGAGGTCCCTCCCCGGACCTCCACCCCAGCCACCGCTGCCGCCGACTCCGAACCAGAACCAGAGCCCCAGCCAGAACAAGATGCTGTCCAACCCGCAACCACCTCCGCGACTGCAACCGCCCCAGCATACTCTCCCATCTACGCCACCGCAGAACCCAGCGACCTCCCACCTCAAACAACCGGCTCCCTGGACACCCAAGTGCC